TGTTGGAAGCGATTCGCAACCCTCCCGATAACCGGAACGAAAGAAGTACACATGAAGATTCTCCCGGAAATGATACTGTCACGAGCTTTGGAAACTTTGATGTTCTTTGGGAAGCGATGCTCATTTCTCAAGCTAAAAGGACCAACATAAGTGAAGTTGAAGTTTCTATTAGCTCTGATGCTGATAACCTTCACACTAATAAACCAAATCTTAACTGTGCATTTACGGGAAACACGACAAAGAATAGTCAAACATTCGACAGTGGTATTGTCGATGCTGAACTTTTTCCAGTTTCCAGTTCAACGTGCGTGGACAAAATGTCACTTAAGGATCCAAGCTTTGAACCAACAGTAAATACGACAAAACTTGGAACTGTAAGTCGTTTAACTGTTATTATTAAAACTCAACGCCAAACTATTCGTAGCTTGCGTGCGCAGGTAAGGTTTCAAAAGAAACGAAATATTTTACATATTTAATATACATTCTTTTATAGCTAAGGGCAAGAGACGCGCAACTTATAACTTGCAATAAAGTTATGAAAAATCAGCAGAAAAAACTGGACGATTTACAGAAAGATAATACATGTCTACGGAAGGCATGTAGTGAAATGAGTTCTGTTGCCGAATGTGTTATCAAACATCGGATTCGTGCGGCATTTTTGACTTTGTTTACTCCTAATCAAATCGACTTGATCTTGGGTGTAAAAAAGAAAGTTGTATGGACCAATGCGGAGATCGCAATGGCATTTGCTTTGAGGTAATTTATAGTTATAGGGGAAATGGATGTAATGTCGGCCTATATGCCCCTAATTTGGGCCCATACATAAATTCAGCAATCGACTAAATTTTCAACAGCGACTAAAAATATCCATTAGTACCGTCCCAATGACGCGTTTATCTAGATAAAATTGATAAATAGCAGACTTTTAGCGATGGGCCCAATCTTAGATCCATAGGCCGACATTAGAGCCATTTCCCCTTTAAGCATTTAAGGGTAACTGACAACTTTGACAGTATGTACCATTACCTAATTTCGTCAGTAAGTAAACGAAGTCCTTAACGCTCTATTTTTGCATGAGGATATACATCATGTTTCATAGCATCGATTGATAAACATAAAAGTAAAGCGCTCAAATAGTTTTGTACCTCCTACCTAGTAGTTTTTGTACCTTTCTAATAGATAAAGCAATTTATTCTCATTTTAAAACTTGGTTTACAAATCGATATGAATGTCTATGGAATCGATAAAAATATATTTGTGCTCAGAAAACGAAGCTCGTTCAGATGATGTATTAAAATGTGTTTGTTTTTCGAAACTATGCAGCCCAATTGCATGAATATTCGTTTTTCTTTTTCTATTTATAGGTATCACAGTCAGCCTGCGTACCAGATAGTACGCAACGAAATGAAAATCCCTCTACCATGCCTTCGAAGCCTACGAGAGTGGGCCTCCTGTATAAACATGAGAAGGGGAATCCTGAACGAAGTGTTTTTGGTTATGAAAATTGTTGGAAGTAAAATGACAAGCCGCGAGAAAGCTGTAGTGCTAGCTTACGACGAAATGTCCGTTAACGAAACCGTGGAGAGAGACAAAAGGAATGATAGTATTGTGGGCCCACACAAAGAAATGCAGGTTGTGTCAGCTCGTGGTCTTTTTTCAAACTGGAAGCAACCGGTTTTTGTGGATTTTGACAGACAGATAACAACAACAATTTTGAACGACATCATTACTCGATTTCATGAAATCGGATTCACTGTTGTAGCGAACGTTCATGACTGCGGAGGAGCAAATGTGAGCTTGTGGAAAGAAATAGGAATAGACTACTCAAAAGAACAAACCGCGATGCAACACCCTGTTACACACGAAAATATATATTTCTTTCCCGATGTCCCACACCTTCTTAAGCTCATAAGGAACTGGATGCTGGACCATGGATTTTATTACAAAGGTATGATTGACCATTCCTTAACATGTTATATTACCCCTTATTTATATTAGGGCAAGATGGATTGATTGATTAACATCAACAGGCTCAATGTAGCTGGAAAAATAAAACTATCATTGGGGTAACATTGACCCTGTTGATGCTGACAAATAAATAAATAAAATATTCAATGAACTTACCCACCTTGCCCCACCTTCTCCTTCACTGAGCGTAAATAAAGTATTACTGATAAGGGTTGGTCCATTAATTATGTCACGCAAATTTGGCCCATTTTCAACCCCCCCCCCCTCCCCCCTTTGTCACATGTTTTGTATGGACCTTAATTTTTTTTTGTATGACTCGTCACAGTTTCCAAAACCCCCCTCCCCCCTAAAAGTGTGACATAATTAATGGACGACCCCTAAGTAGTATTAATTTATATTCAACAGGGCAATTAGTAACAAAAAAGTTCTTGGAACTGTTGATTGAAAAGGCGTCAACACTCAAAAAACCGTTGGCGAAAGATGGCCCCGAATTCAGGAATGTAGAGTTCAATTCAATGTTCAAACTATCTCTAAGGCACGTGACAGTTGCTCGAGCTGAAAGGCAGAACGTCAGACTAGCTGCGGAGCTCCTCAGCCATACGACCGCCGTGAATCTCCGAAGGCATTTCGGCGAATACAATGAAGCGATACTTCTCGCTGAGGTTATTGAAATCATCGATAAATGGTTTGATGTGATGAATTCCTACCAATTGAATCAAGGTTCGCCAAGCAAGACAGGTTACGGCAGTAGCTTGCCTCTTCAGGACAAAATTCTTGACGATATGGCTTACTTAATGAAGAATATGAGGACTCTAACGAGGCAGTGTTTGCCAGCAGCAACCCATCTTCAGGTAAATGAAAAACTAAATACATGCACACGATGAGATTTATTTGTTTACTGTAATTACAGACTTTCCAGAAGGCCATCCTCATCTCAATTGTGTCAATTAAAAACTTATACCTGACTATGCAGGTTAAGTTCGGCATATCATTCATATTGACGCATAAATTGAATCAGGACTTCCTAGAGAATTTCTTCGCAATTTTAAGATTGAATGGCGGGACACATGACCATCCATCTCCTCTGCAGGCGCTTGATCGTATCCGCTTAGCCATTCTGGGTAAAAATTTGCAGCATCATCTAAAAAGGCATCAAAACACCGAAAGCGTATCCATGGAAGAAGATTTTTTAGTCGCTAACATATTTCGGAAGCGAAAAGCTGATTCAAAAGGAACCCAGCATATGGCATTCATTGAAGAAATAGACGATGATGTCGAAGATTTCGAGTCATGGCAGGTTATGTCGAAAAATCGAACTCTCGAAGAAGCTGACGGCGTGGAATATGCTAACGGATTCATAGCACGGAGCTTACTGACAGAATACCCAACGCTAGCCAATCAAACCCAGGTGGTTATGGATACATCTGAGGAAGGAATGAATAAAGAAAACTATATTCAAGACCTTTCATACGGAAGACTACTTCAACCGACAGATTCTTGGAATAATGCGGCTAATCAATTGGATGCCTACTTCAATCATATCCACAATATCACTGGCAGAGATTACGGCGAAATCGGGTTTCGAAATACTACGGATGTACAGAAACGAACCATCAAGAAATTAAAGGATCAGTTCCCTGATATTCCAGATAAAATTATTCGTACGTACACTACTAAACGCATAAATATCCGAGTGAAGCATATGCAAAAGAGATTACAGGAGAGAAAAATCCACAAATACAAAATTGAACCGAAAAAAGCAATGAAACGAAAGGCTGAAAAATCCCTCGGAAATGAAGCAGGAAACGAACGGGATGCCATTGTTGGAAAAAATGCCCGAAAATTAAAACATCTTATTCATTAAATCTTTCTGAATAACTGATTTTGAGTCCTATTCATTGTACATTGGTGGAAATATAACATACCTTATGATTCATAAATACAACTTTTTAATCAAATTGCCCACATTCTGCTCATTCCATCGTCTCCAGGTTGTTCCTCGTTAACTTGAAGTCGTTGGCACTCATTTCACTAAACAGCCGTCCTTGTTGTCTAATGTACAGGAGGAAAACGGACACTTCTAAAAACAACACGGATAGTTTCTAGTACATTTCATACATTTAATTTGCACTAAGCTAAAGTAATTCCACTAACAAATACAAAGCATGCTTTCTCACCACTAGTTTGTTTTGTGAGTTTGACGTCATCATCGATTGTTTACAATTTTTTTGCTACTAATACCAACAAATACCTTTTTGTTCCACACCTGTATATACCTCATTGACTTCGCATCGCGTGTTGTATTATAAAAAAACATCCGTTCCTTTGCACGCTTGCGCTGTGAATAGTAAACAGTTGTGATTTTAATTGCATATTTTTGTGAAAATCCTTATGTTACCTAGGTAACTCTGTTAAGTGAAGCATTTTACAACAAACTTGATGTTCTGCGTTTATTCAAAGCGGTAAGTACTTGAAAAATGTGTCCTCTGTTGAAAATATTCGCCAAGGACCGTTGCCTGGAAGTGTTGTTTTGATTGAGTTTCCTTTTCGCTTGACACTTCGTTGCACATTTGCACTGATTGATAACCACCACATGATTCAGCAGCTAGCAGACCATCATTCCAATTCGGCTTGGCACGCTGCGTGTGGAAGAAGATCGGTGTGTGAATCCAGGTTGCAATAAAGGGAATCATCCAATCTGACGAAATTCCAGTTTCGAATGAGTGGTAGGTAAAGAAGTTCCACGACTGATAAAACATTTCATAGTGCGGAGCATCAGCATCAGCCGCAGTAAAGGGGGAGCAACAACAGGTAACTACCGCCGAGTGACTAGCAGAGAGGACTTGGGGAAACCGGCGGAGGAAAACTTGTTTCTCGTCAGCAATTTTCACTTTACGTCGACGTCTATCCAGCTCGCAGTCATCGCTCGGAGATTCGATCAGTCGGACGTGTTTGGTTTCCGTTCCTGGTAACGGGTTGCTGGAATAAGTCGGCAGAATATTGGTCACCCAAAGGAATAGATACTCTCTCGTCTTGTGACATAACTAGTTACCCTGAAAACGGATCATATTACTCGGATGTGCTGGTTCAACGTGTCCGGAATTATATAATAAGCACAAGGAGCAACCAGTTCACTAGTTCAGAAGATCTAAACCGTTGACCTACTGCAGGAATAACGGTGCTGCGCGAGCTTCAGAGAAAGTGTCTTGAATGGAAGACGTGGAACAGTGAAGCAAACAAGAAAAAAGAAAGTTTAACTTTTGCGTGGTTTTATCTTTCGTGTCTCATTGAGAAGAAAGTTTTTTTTTTATCTTTCGTAAGTGTAGCTGAAATTGTTAGTGGATAAAGGTAACAATGAGCAGTTGGCCGAATAATGTTGGAATTTTGGCGCTGGAGGTAGTTTTTCCCTCGCAGTATGTGGATCAAACGGAACTAGAGGTGTTCGATGGAGTTTCTGCGGGGAAATATACGATCGGACTGGGTCAAAGTCGAATGGGCTTTTGTTCGGATCGCGAGGATGTCAATTCGTTGTGTCTGACCGTAGTTAACAACCTGTTGGAGCGTCATAATATTCCCCATTCGAAAATCGGCTACCTAGAAGTCGGAACCGAAACCTTAGTGGATAAGTCGAAGAGTGTGAAGTCAGTGCTGATGCAATTATTCAAACCACACGCAGTCACGAACTTGGAAGGAATTGATACAACTAACGCATGCTACGGTGGTACTGCAGCTTTGTTCCATGCATGGAACTGGGTCGAGTCTTCCAGCTGGGATGGACGACTTGCATTGGTTGTCTGTGCTGACATTGCTGTGTATGCCCAGGGATCTGCCAGGCCTACTGGAGGTGCGGGAGCAATAGCCATGTTGGTCGGCCCCAATGCCCCTCTAGTGTTGGATCGCGGTCTTCGTTCGACATTCATGGACCACGCCTATGACTTTTATAAGCCGGATCTCAGCTCCGAATATCCGGTGGTAGATGGCAAGCTATCGATCCAATGCTACTTGGGTGCGCTAGACAATTGCTACCAATTATATAGAAAAAAGTATACTCAACAGAATCCGAGAGCCAGTGTAAACCTGGACGTTTTCGATGCCGTTATTTTTCATTCGCCTTACTGTAAGTTGGTCCAGAAATCGCTTGCGCGTTTGGGCTTGAACGACTTTGTACTTACACCGGAAAATGAACGTGCATCAGCCTATCCCGGGTTCGAGCAGTTCCAGAACGTGAAACTGGAAGAAACGTACTTCGATCGTGATGTGGAGAAAGCTTTCATGACCCATTATGCTCCAGTATTCAATGCCAAGACGAAAAAATCGCTACACTTGGCTAATCAAGTCGGCAATATGTACACTCCATCTGTGTACAGCGGTTTGGTTTCCCTGCTGATTAACAGTGAACTGTCTGAGCTGGCTGGCAAAAGAATAGGAGTCTTTTCATATGGCTCTGGATTGGCTTCTTCGATGTATTCTATATCGATAACAAAGGATAGCCACGCTTTGGCCGAATTCAAGACTCATCTAAATTATGTCCATCCCCTGCTGGATTCCCGACAGAAGGTGGCCCCGGAAGAATTTACCAAGCTTATGGAGATTCGCGAAAAGAACAACCACGCGGCACCTTACGAACCATCCGGAAGCGTGGAAGTACTCTTCCCTGGAACCTTCTATCTCCAATCGGTTGATAAGATGCACCGACGTGTGTACGAGAAGGCTCCGCCGAAACCTGCTCAAACGACGAACTGTACTTCCTAGTGACCTTCATCGAGGAACTTCGAGCGATCCATAAAGAACGTCAGATCGGGTTTTCCTCACGTTTTGGGCTCTAAGATTAAAGTTATTTATTCTCTGTGAAGGTCTAATTTTACGTTTTGGCTTCTTGTACTATAATGGATGTGTCAAATGTAGTGACTTTTCTTAGTTTAATTTCAGTTGTTAAATCTCAAGTTGAAAAACGAATTACCAGTTAAGAAAAGTGTTTATAAACATTGCAATGATTTAGCATGACTAGACAATAAAATACCAACCAATTGTAGTCCGTAAATATTATTGTTTTCAAACTTAGTTCTGCTAAAAGACTGATTGGTCATTCTTATGCTTTGATTTAACTTCGCTAGGGTAGCTGCCGAACCGACTTAGATAGCAACAATCTTTAAACTGCATCAACCAAAAAGTAAATCCACAACAGGGGCATCAATAATACATTTCTAATATTGTAACGGTAAATCAAACATAACTGACGAACAGTAAAAGTTCATCGAAGTAGATTTCAGCGACAACTGTAAATCGAACGGTAATTTTCTGCGCATAAAAATGAAACAAATCTAAACGTTGAAGTTTATAGGATAAATCAATCGGAAATATGCAATAAAACTTTGTCTTGTATGGGATACTTTGTACAAAAAAATTGTTGATTTAGTGTAAAGTGTTGTCCGAAACTTCCTGAATTTGGTTTTATGGCCTCTCTCATTATAGTGATAGTTATCTCATAGTGACTAAAGCGTCATAATCTCACAGTGGATTCGAATTCAAGTGTTGGCTTTGCGATGTTGTGTGGTGGTGGCTCGTTTCCTACCTCTGGTATTAAGATTAATGATAAGATAGCACCACCGGGTCGATGTCTTGCGTGGAGAATCCTGTGGAAAGAGGGTTAATTTATTTTTGACAGTCTATTAGTATCAGCGCATACCATTCAATTGTATCCCACCGTCAGAAAGAAGGCTACCATAACTCAAACTTTGCCCTGAATCAACGATTGAAAGAAATATTTCATCGTCTTACGGAAACTCTACGGATCGGTCTATCCCTTAGCTCGTGGAATTTTGACGTTGAATCTGAATATTTTGATTATTTTTAATTCTTTATTAATGCAGAATGCAACAACACTCCCCCTCGAGTTACGTTCTCAATTTAAACAAGTACTAAGTAGTATATGAAAGATCAATAAGTGAGCTTACTTGCAGAAGATTTGATTAAATACACAAACCAAGTAATAGTTTTAGCTTTATTTCAGTCTTATTCACCATGTTTCAGACTTCAAATCCAAAATGAAAAAATTATTTTAACAACTTCAAATGGAAATATTGTTGATTCAAAGCCTAATAGGTTTTTATTATAAATTGCAATACAGTGTATCTATGATTGTTTCTTCAAAAACATATTGTTGAATCATCAAAACGGATATAAAATCAATCAATTGTTTGTTGTGTTACAATATGGTTTATCAAAGAAAACCTTAATAAAACTTGCTATTTTCCCTTGGGAAATGTTTTGGTGTGTTATTTATAAAAAAAAAAAGTTCTACCAGAGTGGCCACTTCGTATTTCTTGGCCGTTTTTTTGGCGTTTAAGAGATGAACTAGCATCTCTGAACCACGGAATTCTTCTTAAATTCACATAAAAAAAATCCCTACAGCTTTTCTTGTAAATTGGAATTCTCTTGAAACTATCCTTGATAATTTCCATGGAACTCTTCATAGAATTCCTTTAATATTATCCGGAAAATTCAATTCCTTTGAAAGTTTTCTCAAAATTTTTATAATTTTGGATCTATTTTTTTTCAAAGGAATTGAATTTATAGGATAATATTAATCAAAACTCTCCTTACGAATCCTCCTGAGTCTATTCTTTTCAAAATTGTGCCCTGAACACCTTTTAAGTTATAATTTATAATTTTCTTTAAATTTTCTAGGAATTATCCTTATAACTCACTTGCTATCCTCCTCACGTACTCCATAAAATTCTCCTCAGAATAACCAAAGAATTCTCTTCGAAGTTCTTTTCAAAGCTCCCATGGAATTATTCTAAGAATTAGCAAGAAATTCAATTCAAAAATTCCTTTCTTTTCCCCAGAAATTTCTTGGACTTCATCCCAGGATTCCTTAAGACATTATCTTAGAATTATTATGGAATCCTGGTCAAAGCTCCTTGAAGCTGTTTACCAGAATTTTGTAGTAGTTCTTTACTAATCGGTCTAAGAACCTATTCAACCCAATAGTATTCGGTCTAGTTGCCTTAAAATATTCCATGAGCTAGTGGATTACCCAACAAACAATTTTAGCTGCAGATTAGCTTATACAGCCAAAATTTGCCTTATGCAGCTAATTTTTGCCTGTATAAGCTAAGCTGCAGCTAAAATTGTTTGTTGGGTAGTTCTTCACACTACTGTGTTACCTGACTTATAACGAATATACGTTGTATACGAGTACCCTGTACGATTAGTTCGTCTAATTTTACATTGCAAATGCTATGCAAAATTAGACGAGACATTCGGGGTACTCGTATACAACGTATATTCGTTATAAGTCAGGTAACACAGTAGCCAAATAAGCTTCGTTGGGGTGCTCTATAGTGATAGCCTGGCATAGCTGCCCACGGTCGTTGAATACGATGAGGAAGAGTAGCAGTCATAGTACACATTCTTGTCTCACACTAGTGACGACCCGGATAGGGTCGGAAAAGGCTCTATTATGCAGACCTCTACTCATGAAGACTTCGTATTTTCACTCGCATTTCTGCTCAAACGGTTTTGTAAAGGGGCTAGGTGGTCTAATAGTGAGCGTTTTTTGCTGACTGAACAAAATATCGTGGGATCAATCCCAGGCCGTTTTACATTTCGGTATATCATGTGTATGGTTATCAAATTAACTTGGACTTAATTGAACAATCTGTTTTTTGACAAACAAACCATGAACTGAAATCTTTGAACATCAACATAATATTATAATCAGGTGTGATGCCTGAATGTTTTACGAACCCATTAAATGTTGTGATGAGTGACACTCGAATTAGATTGCCTTAGCTTATACATCTGGTCTAGCTAGGCAGGACATAACCTCATCCTAGTGATTCACTTGTTTCAAACATCAGCAACCTTGACTTAATCACCCCAATCATGACGCATCTGGATTTTCCCAAAGTTAGTCGTCAATGGTTTATTTTGAATTACCTATCCACATGACCGAACAACCGGCTAGCTACTTCTGTCCGATCATATCCATTTATAGCTAGCTTTACATGTGCAAGCCGAGTGCAAATCATCAACAAACCCATTCCCAGCTATCTCCACTACGTGCCGCATTTCTCCAGCAATATCATTCGTTTCAACGTAACAGTTTCCAACTGTTTTTACTTTCTGCTGGTGTGCGCGCTAAGCCATTTCGATCGCAGCAAGACGATTCTCTTGAGCAAGTGTAAAAGCCGTGTTGTAAAAGGGGAAGTTTGACGTACACTTGATTGTTTTACGCTAAGTACTGTTTGTGTTAGTCTTCCGCAGAATTGAATGAACGGGTCACTCCGTGTCATCAATTAGGATCTAATTGAACGGACAGTGCAGTATGATCAGTTCGTAGGGTTGAATTACGTGTCGAGAATTGTTTATTGAGGATTCTGACTTCTGACACACATTTTCACTTTAAATCTAAAATTATCTACTAAAGTGTTTATTTGTTACATAAATTGCCTCCTTCAGTAATCCCAATCGGTCATTCCTCGTAGGATGATGTTCAGCTTGGGCTCAAATCGATAGAAATTGGCTCCGGTTGGGTTGATTCGTGTCTCGAATGATCCATTCGATGGTACAAAAATTGGTTTTCGCTCTTTGTCGAATAAATCCTGTAATTACGTGAGTCTCTTTTTAAAAATTCGAATCGTTATTAACTTTACTATCGTTTTCAGCTGACTCAGCCTATGTACGATTTTCAATTACCGAAGTAATTTAATCGATTGATATACTTACGTAAACCTTATATCCTTTTACGTAGTTGTTATCCGTGAACCCGAGATCGTCAGCTAGTTTCACATTGATAGCATACGGTGCCCCATCGGCTCGACGACTGACGAAAGCCACTACTTGCGTCAATTCACTCTTCACCTTGGGAAGTATAGGACGTTTCCAAATCTATGCGAATAGAAATCTCATCAACTAGAGAAAAATATTCCAGTTCCAAATAGTTTAACATTCCATTTCATTTGACCAAAGTTGAGAAGATCAGGTTTAGTTCAACTAAGCCTTCCCACAGTTGGCTTTTGTGTTCGCTTATCATAAATCGCGATGGTCTTAGCTATGTCTAAAAATATGTGACTTGTGTTGGCCCTGATTTGTAATTCAAATTTTCTCTTTCGCCATCGCCTGTTGTTTGGAAGATCTTACGACACTCTTATGGGCGTCGATGATTGGCATCGTTGTGTTGCGCAGGGACCTAAGTGGCTCTTGGAAATGGCGAGAAAACATACTTTGGTCTATCAATTAATTAGTCGGCTGTATTCTAGGAACTGAGTCGAAAGTTTTGAGTGATACAATACTGCCGATACTCGCATAATTGTCCCATCTTTGCTTGATTTCCTATTCATATGGGACTGTTATGCTTTTATGGGCAGAATAGGTTCAACGTATTTGCGAGAAGATTTGAACGAGAACCTGTTTTATGTCTTAAGCAATGTCATTTGTGTGTGCGTATGACTCTTCTCGAATGGCGCGTTGCGAGTTGTCTAATCAAACACATCATCGAATGCTTCGCGGGGAGCAGAGTCACGATATGCAAATATTGTCATTATCACCTACGGACATGTCTCCAAGTGGCAGATGTTGGGCGCGTACATAATGTGTGAGCTAGGTTGAATATGATACTCACCTCAATTTTGTTAAAAGTTTTTACCATTAGGCCTTGGATACCAAGACGGTCTTGGTTAGCTGCTATGATCTCCTTATTTAGCAGAAGTTCTCTGATCTCGGGAGGAACGGTGGCCAGATCATTGGACAAAAGAAACGGCGCTGCGAGGACAGTCCAAACGGCCAATTGTGATTTGCTTTGCTCGTAGCTCAGACCGTAGTTTCCCAAGACAAGCTGCAAATTGTCAATTTACACTTACGGGTGACAATATGAACACCATTTAGTTACCACTCACAGTATCAGGATCATTCCAATGACCAGGACCGCAATGAGGTTGAATACGCTGTTGGTTGTCCGAAAAATAGCGAGTGATGGATTCTACTGAACTGTGGGAGTCTTCTATGTCGCCCCAGTTACGCCACATGTTGCAAGTCTTTTTCAGGATCTCATAATCCGGCTATTATATGTGGAAATGTTCAATAAGTTAATACATGATATTATGATGTAGTAGACTTACAATGATTCCATTGTATTCTTGATAAGCTGGCCAACTGCAGGAGTAGAGCATTGGCCGTCCGGTTTTATTCATGAACTCTCCAAACAGGATGTAGTCTGAGGAATTAGATTTGATGATTAATATTTCATCAATTGGGTTCTTTAATTTTGAAAAATGTATCGTTTTTATACATCATCTGAAAGAGCTTCGTTTTCGGAGCACAGCGACCCACACACTTTCATCTCGATTTATAAAGTGACACCGAGGGGCGCTAATAAGGTGATTTTTACTTATTTAAAATAGTTCCAGCGTTCCAAAATTGATGAAATTTTGGGTTTGGGTTCCAGATTATGAATATACATTTACCTCAATACCCTTAAAGAACCCAATTGTGTTCAACAAATATTCACAACAGTTCTGTTTGAAAATGGATATTATTTTAAATAGTATTGACTATTAGCATCTGAGAAGATCTTTTTCAAATTTTGATCATCTTATTCAATTGGTGAGATGAAACGAAGCAATTTCTCATGCATTGCGCCACCATCAAAGATTTCTATCCTGGGCGGCTGCTTACTTTCGCCTTGTCTTGTCGATCCGACGCCATGAACCCCTGGGTGCAGATTTCTTTTTTAACGCCTTTGTGTGTGGTCAATCCAGCTACGTTCTGTAGCTCCACTTACGTTCTCGAATTTCAGTCTATATCGATTTTTAATAACATCGATGATGAAGCTCAGAATTCAATATTAATGTTGATGAAGACTTGAAGCTTGTTTCGCTGCCAGCGAATTGAAAATTCGTTGTTGACTAATCTAGTTGGATGATAATCTAGCAGCCCTAACCTTCTTGATCGCTGACGCTGACGCTATCTGATCTCGTCGATTACAATGAGGAACAATGGCGCTGGATAGCACACATCCTTACGCCATCTACTACCCGGATAGGAAGGCTGGTGGCTGGTTGGTCGTCGAAACTTGAAGAATTTGTTCGAAGTCAATGACATCCTTGTTCCACTCAAGCGTCGTAAGGTCTCATAGATGAGACGGATATCGCCAGTAGTTCCGGCTTTCTCCCATTCGTCTAACTCTTCCGCTTGACGTCCATCTCTACAGCCGAATACCGTTACTTCTCGCCGGTCTTACGATCTCCATCCTTTTATCTGAGTGCGCAGCTCACTTAAGTTGTTCGTATTTCTCTTCTACGCTGCTTAAGTTAGTAAAAAATTGTCTCACAATAGCATGGTTTCTGGTGATTGAGTTCGATGGCAGGACATTTACATAAACTTGTTCCAACCTCTGGGAACTTGAGGAACTCGAACTCGAAGTACGGCCACATTAAACAAAAAACCTCATTATTTCTTAAAGTAGAACCAACTTATCTGACATTTTCCTCATTTGTAGGCAAAATAAAGATCTTTTATATACCGCAAATGTTAAATGTCAACACGATAGTTTTTCTAAAATTGTTCAAGCTTCATTCAGACTCACCGAATTAGGCCTAGCGTTATGCCGAGTTATCATGAAGATTTGATCAACGAGCAGATAGATTTCAGAAATCTATATGTATGTACCATACAGTGTCCAGGCATTTTTTGTTTTTTATAAACTGTAACTTTATCAAAACCACACTTCACCTACCATCGACCATGTTCCTTTCGTCTGCATAGCATCCATCAATTTTGATGAAATCCACATCCCAATCGGCAAAGGTCTGTGCATCTATTTCAAAGTAGTCCTTCATGCCCGGATAGCCAGCGCAAGTATGTGTTCCAATGTCTTGGTACAGACCAAACTTCAATCCTTTTGAGTGAATCTGTAAATTGAAGCACCCAGTATAAACAAACATTCACTTCCGCACACTACACAGTTTTCCTACGTAATCCGCCAAATGCTTCATACCGTTGGGGAAGCGTTTTTTGTCCGGAACCAACCGCCCGCTGGAATCCCGTTGCATTTCCGACCAACAATCATCGATGTTCACGTAGTCGTATCCAGCTTCCAGGTATCCCTCAGAAACCATCAAATCGGCCATCCGCTTGAACAGCTGTTCACTGATACACTCATTGGGATACTTTTTGCAGTCCGTGATACACCGAAATCGCTCCCAACTCATCCAGCCCATTGGAGGAGTTCGAGCTAAGCCGTTTTCGAGACCATGTGTTACACCAAGCGACGCCGTTAGCACCGCTAATATGAACTTCATTTTCAATAGGTACCACTTTTACACTGAAACCGAATTGCTCGGCTCGAAAGCTCCGTAATCGCTTTTATACCATTCTTACCTAACGATATTGTTATGGAACTTAACGCTGCAGGAGTCACATTGTCCTCGATCGGGTTATCTTAATGTAAACACTTTGAGCACTTCAGTTACATACAACCAGAAGAGGTAACCCGTAGCGTACTCATAGCTAATAAATTGCCAGTTTAAGTAGGGTAGGTATGACCTTTGGAGTGAGTTCCAATTTGCAGCAAGACCACTTCTCAATGCAGGTCGCGTGTTATCGATAATACTCCGAACGTTGCGCAATTAGAACCACTGATGAAAAGTCTGTTCCATTTAGAATTTGGTCGCATAAAATGGGTCTTTCTCCAAGAGTACATAACATTCAGAAACGCTACGGGTATCATTTTGTAAGTTTTTTTTATTTAGCTTTAATTGGAGAAATACAAGACAAATTATTCGTCAGCTTTTCGGATGAATTTTTGAACTTTTCGCTGAATACCTTGCACATATCTCATATCTTGCACAGCAGTACTGTCAACCTTATCTGCCATCGTTTTACCTTTTTCCACCGAAATGGTCACGTGCTCACGGCCTACATGCAAAGATGGAGCCAACGCAACGTTGGTTACATATCAAATCAGTCACCCTGTAACGGAGGTAACTTGGTAGAAGATCTCAGAAGCTCAAAAATGTATTCATCGAGACATTCATAACTTTAAAAAGAATTCAAGAACTTCAAAAAAAATAGCATTTCTGGGATTCATCCAAGACTTAAAAATGTTGATCGCTGTTTACAACCTCTGGAATAGCATCGACTACTTCGGTACATGTGCACTATCGAAACCTAATTAGAGGAGGTAAGGTACGATTTCTGGAACTGCCTTGCCTAGAATGGTAAGCAACAACAAAGCATTCACCTCAGCAGTATACTGGTGGAGACGAACCAGCCTCAGGCTGAAAGCCTCCTTAATAAAGATAAATCAATCAATCAATCAGCAGTATACTTTGTTTCCAACGCACAAGCTACATTAGCCGGAAGTCTGTCGAGCTTCTCAGCGACACCAATCGCAGCTATTAGCTCACCACCTGGTCCACTAAATTTTCAATTTTTGTATCGATTATGTCGCTCTTCCTCTATTTCCGCTTGCAGTTCATGTGATTCCAGAGCTTCGTCCAAATATTCTACTTCCCCGGTGTCATCCATGTTCTGGTTTCCAGATTGTTTCTCGGATTGGGTGTCAAATTCGTTAACTGAATCGAGAGGCGGCGTGGAGGCTAGATAATTACTTGTAGTCCTGTAAACCCAATTATAGTTATACTTACTTGATACTTGATGGGCTACGAATCGCCAGGTTGATTCAACGCCGAACGAAGTACTCTTCTCCATTGGACTCGGTCCTGAGCCAATCGCTTCCAGTCGCCATGAACGTTTAGCGACCTGATGTCCTCCTCAACTGCAAATAGCCAACGTGTCCGAGGTCTACCCCGGAGTCGACGACCTCTACCGGGTTCTCTGCTGAATATAATATTTGCTTGTCGTTCTTCCGGCATCCGCACTACATGCCCAGCCCACCGTAGTCTGCCGTGTTTTATAAGCTTCACTATATCCGTACCGTTATACACTTGGTACAACTCGTGATTCATGCGACGCCGCCAGATGCCATTCTCCTGTTTACCGCCGAGTATTGTTCGCAGCACCTTACGCTCGAAGACACCAAATGCTCTCCGGTCAGACTCTTTTAACGTCCACGATTCGTGGCCGTAGAGGGCTACCGGAAGTATCAGCGTCTTATACAGAGCGAATTTCGTTTTCGTTTGCAGGCTACGGGACTTCAGCTGGCTACGTAATCCGTAAAAGGCCCTGTTTGCAGCTGCAATACGTCTCTTCACCTCGCGGGTAACATCATTATCGCATGTCACTAGTGTTCCAAGATACACAAATTCTTCCACTACCTCAAATTGTTCACCATCTAACAACACTACACTACCAACACCACTATTGCTCCCACGCTGTCTACCGGCTACCATGTACTTCGTTTTGGTAGAACTTATCGTGAGCCCAATCCTCGCCGTCTCCCTCTTAAAAGGCACAAACGCCTCTTCCACTGCTCTACGGTCAATTCCGATGATATCGATGTCGTCCGCAAAGGCAAGGAGCATGTACGATCGTGTGATGATGGTACCGTTCCTCTGCACACCAGCTCTCCTAATCGCTCCTTCAAGAGCAATGTTGAACAGTAAGTTTGAAAGTGCATCACCCTGCTTCAATCCATCTAAGGTCACGAACGAGGTCGAAATCTCATCTGCAACCCTTACACTTGATTTCGATCCATCTAGCGTTGCGCGAATCAGTCTAATTAGTTTCGCCGGAAAACCATGTTCTAGCATAATCTGCCAAAGCTCATTTCTCTTCACTGAATCGTATGCTGCTTTGAAATCAATAAACAGATGGTGAGTCTGCAAGTTGTACTCCCGGAATTTATCAAGGATTTGACGCAGGGTAAACATTTGATCCGTCGTTGATCGGCCCTCACGAAAACCAGCCTGGTATTCACCGACGAAGGACTCCTCAAGCGGTCTCAATCTGTTAAACAGAACGCGTGACAGTATTTTGTACGCCGAATTCAGAAGAGTTATTCCTAGCAGGCAGTTCTTCGTCCTCCCATATCTTCGTTAGAATACGGTGGATTGCTTGATGCAGCTGCTCACTTCCGTGTTTGAAAAGTTCGGCCGGGAGCTCGTCCTTCCCAGCAGCCTTATTGTTTTTCAGCTCACGTATTGCCTTTTTAACCTCGTCTAGCGTTGGAGGCTCCACAGCTTGATCGTCGTCTGCGATGTTTACTCTGTTCCTCGATACTCCCTCACTCTCTCCATTCAACAATTTCTCAAAATGTTCTTTCCACCTGGCAGCCACCATTGTTTTATCTGTCAGCAAATTCCCCTCAAGGTCATTGCACATGGCGGGAGATGGCGCTGTTTTACTCCGCACACCATTGACAGTCGCGTAGAACCTTCGCATATCGTTCTGTTCCATACTTTCTTGCGCCTCAGCAATCACGCGTTCTTCGTATTGCCTTTTCTTTCTGCGGTGGGTTCGTTTCTCAGCTGCCCTTGCTACCTTGTACCGCTCTCTGTTCAGCCGGGTACCAGACACTAACATCCGGCTTCTGGCAACGTTCTTCTCATTCGTCAACCTCTGGCACTCCTCATCAAACCAGCCATTACGTGGTCGTCTTTGAGCTGTACCTATCACTTCTTGTGCTGTTGTGTTCACCGCTCCGTGGATTGTGTTCCACAGATTGTTGATTTCGCTAATCCGCTCATCAAGCTTCTGGCGGTACTCTGCAGCAACACCTTCTACTGACAAGCGATGGATATTGAAACGCATCGATCTCCGGTTCGTTGAATTCGTAACGGTCGATAGACGCGCCCGAATTTTGCAGACAACAAGATAATGATCTGAGTCAATGTTAGGCCCCCTAAAAGTCCTTACATCAATGACATCTGAGAAGTGCCGGCCATCCACCAACATGTGATCGATCTGGGTGCAAGTTTCGCCATTTGGGTGTCTCCAGGTGTGTTTCCGGATATTCTTGCGTGCAAAGTAGGTGCTACTGATGGCCATACGCTGTTTGAGCCGCACCTCCATGGTGAACAGACGCTCGAGAGTCGCACCTCCTCACTTTGCTATCACCACGATCCGGATCCATGTTTTTATCGTGGTGACATTGCCCAGGCTACGCTACCAGCATCTTTTGCTGGCGGTCTTTGTCATCGGCTGACCCGTGGAAGCGTGAGGTAGGAACTTGTGAGGACCAGAGCTGTTGGGACAACACTCCTTCCAGTTTGTCGACTCACCATTTGTAGTTATACTATGAGAATTTTTGTTTTGCTGATGCAATGAAAAAATTATCGTCGTTACAGTGCTCTTGAAAAATTCGGAGCTCCTCGTAAAAATACACTTGGGGAAATGTACCTCTGCATTTCCAGCTCCCGAGGCGGAAGTCTCCTGGACCTTTTTTTAGCTCCTTCATAAATCGGTCTTGGAGATTCTTCCACTGCTGCTTAGCTTTTATCTCCTGTAACAGAAAAGTATTATGTTTTAATTTAGCTTTAATTACTTAATTACAAAGCTTTAGTTATTAGACATTTCAACACCCAAAATGCTCGCAATTGATCTCCAGGCCCGAGCTTTTAGAGCAGTCTTCCGGTACACTCCGCATTTTTTGTCGTTTAAATACGGATGTTTGCGTACCAGGTCAATTAGTTTCATAACCTTCTCATCAGTAAACTCACAATTGATCATTTTAGATGGTCAAGTTTTGAACCCACCACAGCATGCTTTTGGCGCTACTGTATATGGACGATCAAATGTAAAATACTGTGGTAGACACAGCACAGTTCTGTCAAAACCTCTGCTTTTTCATTGATCCATTGCCGGAGTCACGGTCCATTTTTTAAATTACTTCCAATCGTAATGTTATAGGTAGTTCAATTCAAACTAAAGCTATTTTTGCAAATTTCGAGTTCAGGCAACTTGCCGCACAAAAGCTGCCGCCGCTTATCAGGCATAATATTTGATAACGGCACAAAAGCATTTGTAAACAAACTTTCTAAGGCCCTTTACACGCGAACCAAAGTACGCCCACGCAAACCAACTACATCATCGGATAGGGGCAACTATCACCTTTCCGAAAGTGGTATTGGTCTGCGTGGGCGTATTTAAAATGCTGAGGTTTTGACAGAACTATGCTGTGGCTACCACAGTATTTTACCTTTGATCGTCCATATACAGTAGCGCCAAAAACGTGCTGTGGTGGGTTCAAAACTTGACCATCATTGATCAATTGCAGGTATCCAACGAACGAGTTCTTTAAAGTGGTTCCGATACAATGACGTTTAATAAGGTCCGGGCCAACAGGCAGCTTGCTGGTGTTAGAAGCAAAAATATTGTAAACATTGCTGAGCACTCATGTGACGACGTCACTCTACCATAACATTCCATACTGCGAACTGAGAGATTTACGTCACTGCCAACAGCTGTTTCGTGTAAAAGATAAACATTGCAGTGAAATACGAAACCACTAAACATTTGTTTATTTCACTAACACCAATAAGCCTGTTGGCTCGGACCTTATATAAAGGACATTGGTTCCGATACAGTAATTTGTCACCGACGTTATACTTTACCGTGGATTTCGATGGTTCCGCGAATTCGTATGCCATTGGCGCATTCGGTTTAACAGCAGGGTTAGTATACGTACACTCAATTTCAACCTTTCACGAATTGACAATATGACTCAACGTTCGCGGCGTATACGTGAAAAGCATTGATGAAGGTGTTCTGTTTGTTGTAGTTGACGGAATGTTCCGGTAATTAATTAAGAATCGATTGATCTAAAACGCTGTCCAGACTGAGCAGTTATAACATGTTATAACGGTTGTCAAATAATTGCAACACAGAAACCACCATCAAGATAGCGCTATAACATGTTATAACAACTCTGTAGTCTGAACGTACTATTACGTTCAAGAGACAACGGTTTGCACTTTTCGTCAAACAAACATTTCTTAAGATCGTCTTTGACTACTACTCTTCTCTCGGACAACCCGTTCGATTGGATGTAATAGGGAGGAGATTTTAAAACTTTAACACCATTAAAAATGCGACGTAATATTCTGAATTGAACGTAGGGCTATTATCCGTAACGACCTCCTCAGCAATTCCAAAGCACGCAAAAAAGGATTCAACTTGTTCAATAAATACCTATACTATATATACTATAATCATCTACCTACTATAATTTAAGCAGTAGGTATTCACCCCTATTCTGTATTTCGTTTCGAACGAAATTCTCATACAAAAAAATATTTTTTTGTATGAGAATTTCGTTCGAAACGAAATACAGAATAGGGGTGATTGCCTTCAAAATTGTTTTGTCTTGAAATACAATGAAACTAATTAGCTGAACGACTATTTATGTCCGGTACTGTTCATAATCCAATTGGCTTGAAATCGATGAATAAATTATGTGTCGCATTTCTGCATAACTTGCGGAATCGCGAAAATCTGGTCAGTGATAGCGCGGGAGCACACGAACTCTTTTGCAATCGGTGAAAGACGGCAGAATAATAGAAAATATCTAATTCTGATAATCTTTCGGGTTGTAAATTTTCTCATCATTCCTAGACAGAGTATTCTGTTTGTTACACGATATACAAATTCTTGCAATAAATGGCATGGGAAACACTTCAGTAATTGCTATGGAAGTGGCTCAATGACCACTAAACAAGAGCATGTGCATGCCCATTTGTCAAAGTCAAGAGTAAAAAGATGTATGGTAATTATTTGTTATTTAAAACGAATCAGTTGATTTTACTTCATTTATTTCTATCAAGCAAATCTTTCGATTGGTGATTTTTGTCAAGACCACACAAAAGTCATCGAATATCATCGCAGCACTGACAAACAGTTGAAATATCTTTGACTTGACTCTTGACAGATCTGTCAAGTGCTACCTACATTTCATTACAGACGAATACATCCACACATCCGACGATTTATATTTACAGCCATAATGAGCATATCTTTTGATATTTGTGCGGAATCATTTGAATGAATGAATGTGAATATGCCTAATATAAATGTTATGGTTAATTTGCTTAACGCCGTGTTCGGGGTATCATCCAAATCATTTGTGGCATAGTTCAATCATTTGAGTTACCGTTCGTTTATGGTAATTTTGTATTAGGGATTCCATTCAAAATTGTTGATGCAGTTGAATTTTTTGATTTAACTATATTATCATTCGAAAATTTTGTTTTAATCGTCACATATTCGTGCCACACTAGTTTCGACTTATTTTGTAATTTTTTAATTTTGAACTTTAATTAATCAATGAGACATATTTTTTTATTAAATTCATATAGAAAATGAACATTTATATCGCCGAACTTATTGGTGTTATAAAAAGCACCAATCTATTAGTACGTTCAGACTACAGATAATTGCAACACAGAAACCACCATCAAGATAGTGCTATAACTCTGTAGTTTGAACAAAGCATATAATATCACGTTCAGACTACATTGTTGTAGCATGTTATAATAATTATCAACAAGAAAAATGTCATCAAGCTATTTGCCTTGTAAAATCAGCCTTGATAGCGGCCATTTGTGGATTCTATCAACTTTGTCCTCTATAGTCTATCAGTATAACTGAATCCAAAGTGGTGCTAAAATTCGTGCAAGTAAACGCCATACAGACGACAGATCAAATGGTAGCTATGCACACTAGGGTGGTTCAAAATATTGATTTTGCTCCATCTCACTCAGTCGATTCCGTTCCAATTTGAAATTTCATCAGCTACAGCTTTGCTCAAGGACACCTATGATAATTAGTTATTATTCGAATAAGGATTTCTGAGATTCTGATTCATCAACTGCATTTTGCATTTTGCACTGTGACATAGCAGTCTGGATTGTGTGCCCTGTTGTTTTCGCCAAGTTCAGTATCCGTTCGATTTTAGAAACATGACCTTAATATCTTTACTTTCTTGTGCTCTGCAGTTTAAAATCTTTATCTCTGTTTAATTTGTTTTTTAAGATTGACAGTGGAATTGTCAATCATCATCTGATAATATATTTTGCATTTATTAAAATGATATTTTGAATCACCCTAATGCATACACTGACGCACTGACTGTCACGTGAATTGCGATGGTGGAGAAGATCTAGTAGAGGCTAGTTGAAGGTTTTTCTCGCCTGTCCGTGGTCGCCTGTCGCTGAAATCCGAGTAGAACTCCGCGAGTGCGTCGTCACAAGATCCCTGTGGATTGATCGGGAATCGGAGTCTGGAACACCGGTGTGAGTGCACTAGAAAGAAAATCCCGCTGGAATCGAGAGTAAGGTGCGTTAGATATAGCAGCAAAGCGAGTGAGACGAGGTGCAGTAAGCGATAGAACTATATCTCTAGATTATAGAGAAAGCTGTAGTGGCTGGTATATATTTTCTAGACTTTCCTAGGGCTTAACCTTCCAAAGTCCATTGTAGAATTGAAGATTCGCGCTCATGTGATCAATTTCGAGTGTAATTTTGTTCCGAAAAACTATCGATGGTGTCATTTTATAGCACTGAAATGTTGCGTTCCCAGAGATAACAAAAAGCAGAGTCAGATGAAAAATCAATAATCACGGGGTCAACCTTCAGTTAATGGTTTTCAATGTTTTTGCCAATCGTGGCCAAAGACAATTGTTTCGAAACAAGAAGAGCATGATCGATGGTCAAATTTCTGGACTTTAGTAATTTTGAAGCAGGAAAAATATGTCATGTGACTTATCAGTCAAAACAGCTGACCATTTTTCGCTCACTCGCGGACAGACTGTCTCTTTTGCTCTACAGCAATCAAACGAAGAGACGGTGCTTATTACTCTGGTTGCATAAGTTAGGGGAGACGATGTGAATCAAAACATTGCATGGGACCAAGTATGATGATTGTTGTTATCCTTTATTGATTTCCAATAGAAAAACAATCAAATGGTTCGGTAGCTCAATAGAGGCAGTAACGTCAAACTTGCCGATGCCGATAGCAGCCGAAGGAATTCAGTTGTAATGGATTCTCGTAACTACGTTTGCAAATTCACCCAAGATTAAATATTAATTCGCTTTGCTTCTCGAGCGTTGTTTCCTGACGTCTTTCGGTTGGCTATAAGAAAGTTTGTTGTTTGTCTTGGAAAACTATGTTTGTTATAGTCTAGTGTCAAGTCATTTTTAAACGTCCCTGTCTGTGCGCTCACGAGCCTTCTAATAAGAATAGAGTACTATTTGTTGCCTGTCTACCTGTTTGATCTGGTCTCGGTTTGAAATTGATTTGAAACATGCTTGAATGGAGAAAAAAATAGTGTTATGCGCTGTCCAGACTGTTATAACGGTTGTCAAATAATTGCATCACAAAAAACACCATCATAGCGTTATAACTGTATAGTCTGAACGTACTATTAGCGTTATATTCTTCACTGGCTAAACAAGCACATTCCTACATACTTATTAGTGGTCATAGATCAGTTAGACATTGTAAGTTTCCGAGCCAAAAAATTTGTGACGATTTTGTTGTAAAAGCTCAATTCTACTTACATGATAGTCACAAACCTATTTAGCTTCAAAAATATAATAGATTTGTTATTTTTTATGGACTAACATTGAGAAAACTTAAAAGCAAAAGAAAGGGTTCGCTATCATGTGCTGGGTTCGAGTATTTTTCGCGTCATTCCCACATGTTTGCTAATACCTAGGTCATGCAACAATTATGTAAGCATACTATTAAAATTGTTCGACCCCCGTCCTCTCCATATAAAATTTAAAAAGGTTAAAGAAAATCCCCCGTCCTTGCACCTTTAGTAAAACATTGAATCGATTATATTATGCACAATTTTTGTTTAACGTATAGTGTTCATCGATTCCCTTCATATCCTTTTTATTCAATTAATAACTCGACGACAAAAAAGTTTCCTGTTCCGTTTTCCTAGATTATAGCTTTTTCCATTGAACTGTGTGTCGTAAATATCCAGAAGTCTAATTTAAAAAAAAGTAAAGAGAAAATCGATGAATTATTTGATTTGTTAACATGCGTTAGTACAATTATTTCTGATACCCCTCTTAAGCTAGTAGACAGTAGTAAGCATCTTCCCGACAATGTTCACGCAATTAAAATACTTACCTTTTCGGGTACAAACTTTAGATGTTTGCAGAATTTGTGTAGCGTAAATGTGCCAGCACTAGTGTTCCAGTGTTTTGCCTATGGCCTAAGTAGCTCAAGTTTGCATTAAATTTTATTTACGTAGATTTATGGCAAAATATACGTTCTAACGTTGTGTTGAAATAAATTGTGTAAAGAAGGAAAAAAATATGGAAACCACACTTACCCTAGTCGGATTATAAAAGTAAACTAAAACATGTTGTATTTTAACTAACGTTTAATATCATGGAGCATTCTTGCTTTGCATATTGATTACATGCATACCTCGATATAACGTAATTGCCACTTTTAATTTCCATCGTTGATTTATTTTAAATATTTACAATCAATGTTACCAACAGATTGGCGATTGTCTCATCTGTTCGATGCAGTGGCGTCGAGTCCACATGTGCAACCTGTGCACGACACAGGTGCAAACAATTAAAAAAAATGCGTTTAGATTTTTATAGATTTTATGGTCACATTAAAGATGTACTTCTTTACTCCAGACCACAAAAAGGGTTAAATTCAGTTGGGATGGTCTGCCTAATCCCTAGTGCACCTAAAAGCGAGCTCTTTTGGGTGGCGGGTGGCAAGTTTGTGAATGGCCAAAGGCCTGATGTAAGCCAAGTAGACCTTCAACCACCTCTTGAAACATACCACAAATTTTCCACAATACATGGCGGTTTGCACCACTGGTTGTAATTCAAGCTTTCAGCAGTCACGCGTCAAACGGGAGCAACACGGAAACAGCAGTCTGGTACGCTTTAAGTGGACCCTACACGATTGCTTATATTGACAATAATCGTGACGATACATTCTATATTGACGTCAATATATTGAGATTGACAATATTTCTGAATTCACATAATCAATATTATTGTCAATAATTCCCCTTCGCTTCAATATATTGATGCGTGTGGGGTTTGCTGTAGAGTTATCATACTTGCAGACCGGTTTGAATGTGTGAGTTTGAATTAGAAGAACATTTGTGATGCATGGGTGCCCACAGTGTGCGTTTCTCGCTGTGCACTCGGATATCTGATTGCATACAAAGAGAGTAATGGAGAAAGAGAGCGCAAAAGCCGGCTCTCACTCTCTTGTAAGTTGTGAATCTCTCAATTACCGATAGTTGCGCCGGTGCGCCTGTCAAAACTTATGAGCTTCCCCTGGTTCATTCTGATAGTGATGTTCTGATGAATAAAAAGTTGATTAATTCAAGTTCGCTACCCAGGGGACTATGAATTTTGTTTTGTATCAAAAAATGTTTTGGGAAGTGTTTGACGGATATTCTTTATTAAACTTCAGTCGAAAGAGTTAGCCTTTTGATAAAAACGAGAATTCAAGCTGAACATTGTATTAGGTCCTAAGTAAGATTGACAGATTCTCTTCGTCGACATTCTATTTGTATCTCCACGGATATGTAAATACATTCCCAAGTATTTCAGCACACAGATCGATAAAATAAGCTTTTATCTAGCATCTAAAACGACAAACACAACAAGATATGGTTATGTGCTCAAGTTATTAACGAAATAGAAAGTCGACGAAGAGAATCGATCAATATTACTTAGAACCTAATGCAATGTTCAGCTGGAATTAGCTAAGTTTTGCAATTCCTGCTACTTCGGTTAGTGTGAAAAGGGCCATACAAGTTTTGTTTATACAAGATGATAGGATCTTCAAATGTTACGTTAGGTAGTGATTAATATAGCGATGGAGAATATGTCCCTCGAATTCATGGAGCATTGAAAAATAAAACAAAAAGTAACATATGGTGGGTAAACTATAACGAACAAAGCTTGGTGCACAGGTGAACAAATGAGGCACGCGACGCCTCCGGTTCGATGGTGTCATTACTTTGCGTACTACTAAGCACAACACGCCTTTCCCTCTATTTTTGAGTATATTTTTTTTCACAAAACAGAAGGTTTTTGTGCAGATGACTACTGAATTTGTTTACCTTTCCGTACGTAAGACTAGCTAAAGAGAAATAAATTGTTGAAATATTTTTTTAAATCTAACACTGCTTCTTGACCCCAAACTCGGCCTACGGATTCTCAATTAGGTCTAATGCATATCAGGAAATCATGACTTTTATAAAAACAAAACGAATAAAAAATGAGACCTACTGCGTCATTTGGGCTACTGAGATTTGACAAATCGTATGCACCGATGAATGGTAACAATTACATACTCGACTTGATACTCGATTACACTAAAAGGATTCCCACATTAGATCCTTTTGCGTTGCGTTAACGTAAATTTTGACAGTTAGACAATACATTTAGCTGTCACTTTGCTGCAACGCGTTAGATCCGGATCCTTAATAGTGACTTTTTGATCAAAGTTAATAATTTCAGATACAATTGTAATGTATTTTGAGCTTGTGTTCAAATTTTAGCTAAATTAACCCTTATTTACCTTACCAATCAGGCTAAGGGCTTGTTGTCCTATGCTATCCGAATAAGTCGTCTCCGCTCTACTCGGTCCATGGCCACACGTCGCCAGCCTCATAGTTTGCGAAGGGTCCGAAGGGCGCCTCTTTTTCTTGTTCCTGTTGGGTCGCTTTCGAGAACCATTTTCACTGCGTCGTCGTCCTGCATTCTGACGACGTGCCGTCCACCAAATTTTGCTCAATTAACCCGTTACATGTTAAAACTATAAAAACCCACACTATGTATAACGTATGGAACGAAGGTAAACCCGATTTTCGCTAGTGGGTTTTTCCAGTTTTCAGCTGTGACGACAATAGTTTCGATCATTTGTCCTCAGTCAGTGAGTATCATCCAGACAACCAGAAGTCGTATCAATGTACAGATATAATCGTAAAGTACTACATATTCATCTCAAATTGCTACCAACTTTTGTGGGTATAAGCTGTATTTTTTGCATTATATTCGATTTGTTTGAAGGTATATATGCTTACATATAATAAAAAAAAGCTTTGACATACATGCATTCTGTTAGAGATGAACTAGCCTAAGGCTAAAAATCTCTTTAATAAAGCCTAAAAAAAACATGCATTCTGATTGCCTGTTGACTTCTAGAGTTTTCACAATCCGTAAGCGTGGCTCCTGTTAACATTTATAAGAAATAATATCATACTTATTAACATTAGTCACCTTGGTAAACTCTGGTTTTCAAAGAGAAAAGCTGCTATTCCATTTTCATCTCCGACTCCACTCAATGCTAATTTTAAATCTCATTTCTAGGTAACTGTTTCTGAAAACAGCCACAGCCCGCCGCACGATATTTTGAAACAGTTTCGCCGTACAACCACCAACCGAAAATGTCCGAGTACTGGCTTATATCCGCACCGGGTGACAAGACCTGTCAGCAAACCTGGGAAACGATGAACAATCTAACCAACAAGCAGAACAACCTCTGCGAGAACTTCAAGTTCCACATTCCGGATTTGAAGGTATGGCGGCTGATCGTTAAGAACATCCAATGTATTGCAATGTCTCATACTGGTTATTTCCTCTAACGCTTTAGGTTGGTACACTGGACCAGCTGGTCGGTTTGTCCGACGACTTGGGCAAACTCGATGCCTACGTAGAGCAGTCGACACGCAAAATTGCCGCCTACCTAGGGGACGTTCTCGAAGATCAGCGGGATAAACTATATGAAAATCTACAGGCAAACAACAGTAAGTATGCGTCAATGATTGGCTTTCTATTCGATGTTTGAAATCATATCTTATTGCCATCATGCGTTTTCTGACGGAAAGATTGAAAGTTGAGAGCTGACAGAACGATCATCCTTCTAGTCTAGCGAATAGGAGAGGAATTTCGATCGCACCAAACTTTCATAACTGCTGCATTCCTTGTTTCATTATTTTTTGAACTGATTATTTGCTTTTTATAAAATTCATTCAATGGTTCTTTACAACAATTGGTATAAGATGATACTGCTGTTAAGTTTGAACTTGCTAAATAATCTTCTTTTCTTTTAATTTGAAAATACTTGTTCATTTTGAATTTAGTTTATTTGCAAAAGCATGACGAAGTCTAAAAGGAATCTGATTTCTGATTTTAATTATTGCATGAATCCTGAATATTTTGCACTTTTTTCCAACCTTGAACATTTCCCAAGTTCTGTACGACATATTTTCATCTTGCGTAAGCTCCACACAGTTCCATCAGATTGCTTAGGCATAGCATTAAGCTGATGAGTGCATTACAAGCAAATCATATATAACCCCAATCACGAAACAAACACAAAGGTCCCGGTCCTCCCGACGAATCTCCTCCGAATGATCCCGGAGAGATCTGTTCTACCACATCGTCGTCCTCACACCAGCAAGCGATGCTACAACGGCGGTCATGTACGGACGCCTGCAGCCATGGTACCAACTCATCCTGCTCTTATTGTTCCCAACATACCAATTTGTCGGTGTCCGGTTCAGATCGAGATACCGATTCGTCTGCATTTGTATGCGTCACATCGGGCTCGACGCTTGATTCTCCGGTGATCGTTGAAGTCACTGGCTTAGACTGCCCACCACAGCAACAGCATCAACAGTCAGTGTCGTCAAACGGTCCGTCGTTTTTTGGTCTTAGGCAACGCAGTCACAGTAGCAATTGCCATACGCTTTCGTCGGACCCAGAACCGGAACACGATCGCGATCACGATCACGATCACGAAAGCAGCTTCGAATGGTGGTTTCATAGGCGCAAAAGCTCGCACAAATCCAGGTACTGCCATTGAAGCGAATTGCGAATCACACACCTCTTTGTCGTTCTGTTTCTATTTTGCATATCTCGTTGTGAATTCTTCTCCACTGGCTTAAAATAAGGAAATTATAAATGTGTAAATTGTTTGTGTATATTTCCTGGAGGGCTTACAGTCTTTCGATGTGCCTGGTGCATTCGTAAGCACCATGTGTGTTTTAGCTGTTCGTTGCCATTGTTGCAATTCATCACATGTAATGTACATGAAATTTCATCACGACCAAAATTATACTTATAAACCTAGCGTTCAGAATCATAACTAATTACTTTCGATACCTTGACTAAGTAATTTTAATTAAACACTAGCTGGTTACCTCTGGCTTTGCTCTGGAAAATTTAGTGCATTAATATACTCACTCACTTACTTCTCACCCTACCACTGCTCACATCCTGGCTTATCATTTACTTACCCACACACCCATAGTCTCATTCTTACTTTCCCTTCACCATTCTAAGCATTTTGTGAATTAGATTGATTAGGTCGCACTAGTAAGCCTTATGATTCCGAACGCTAGAAATAATTATGTTCTAGTAGACTTATTATTCTCGACTTTGTCACACTTCTTGTTTTCAAAGATTAATTTACTTTTAATTCATTTATCACCAAAAACAATGACACCATGTACAAATACCTATACTAAGTAGAATAACGGTTATTAACTATGGAGCGAATTTGTTTCTTCTTTAAGGGTAAATAATATCTTTAGGAATGCCCCGGAGGTAATTCTGTAAAGACTACCATGGACCTTGTGACGAAAACTTCAGGTGAATTCAATCAAGAATTCCAAGTGAGTTATTTGTAGAATTGCATGACAATTCTGAGAAGATTTCCATAGGGATTGTAAAGAGAAGTTCGGGAGCACTCCACGAAAAAAATTACTGGATTATTTCAAAGGAACTCTAAACAGATTTGAAAGTAAATTCTGAGGATAATTTCATAGAAATAATTAAAATTCTAAGGGAAATTTTGACCACAATTTCAAGAAAATTATGTCATGAACTCCAATGGAATGCTGACATGCATTTCCAGAGAAGAAGCATTTGAATCTTAAGATAAACCCAATTAGAATATCAGTTGTCAGTATTGCAGAATTTCATGGATAATTTCGACTGAATTAATATGAATAGTACATTAGAAATTTTGAGGAAAATGTCATCAAATTTTCAGAGGATATTTCATTTTCATTTTCATTTTGCAGCGTTTGGTGGGGCAATGGGAGCGCAAGTCAATTCAAAGCCGAGGATAAAGGAAGGGTAATGGCTGAATAGTCTATGCGGACCACTTGAACGCCATGGGAAAAGGAAGGGATTGAAGAGGTCGGTTATTGGGGGGTTTTGAGGAAATGACACATAGTACTAGATTTGTGTTGCAAAATGTAAAGAAACCGAAAATCCAGCTCCCACTGATTCATCCTTTCACATATATACCAAATTGATATTTTAAAGCAACCATCATAATAAACAGGCAATATATGAAAAGGCTAGTTGCCTCCCTAAGCGGACCCCCCGCATCCTAACTCTTTTGTTAATCTACTTAATGTTATCAGGCTGTCTAAATTTTCTTATTTAAGTTCGTTTGATGATTATGATATCTCATTAGTCTAATTTAATAAATAATTGAAATCTCTAATTCTCGTGTTTCAAGTAATTTTGACTTTGATCTATATTTATTATATCTTAGATCGACCCAGGTGACACCTTCAAGTGACTAAAATGCTTCACTTTGAATATAATTTCCTAGCTGATTTTTAAATTATATAGGGTATATGCTCCAACTACACTAACGTTTCCACTATGCCACCCCACAAAATTACGTATGAATATGTCACAATAGAAGCACCCCACAGTGGAAATCCCGAGCCATAGTTCAAACACCTATCCCAAACCAAAACGAAGCATATATAAGATTAGTTACAATACCATGGTGGTGTTTAATATTGTTCCCTGAGTAATGCTTCAATGAAAACAACAATGAAAGCTTGTCATGCAAATAGAAGGAGCACCGTTGGGCACTTTCTGAAATATTTCAATAGTATAATTCCCTTGCAAACCCAAATAAATCTATCTGCGTAAAAATAAATAAAATAAGAGTGATTTGCGGCAAAACCCGCCAGTATCGCACCCAACGTCAGTGCCTATACGTAAGCGTACTACAACGCGGCTTTCAAATAAAGGAGTAACAAGTGTGATACTATCACTTCATGCTAGAACTTTGGTTCTCTTATGCAATGGTTCATCAGAGAGGGGAAGCTCAGTAATCCTCATCGCATGCTCATGACGCTATTTTGTCACGGCATGAGCCAACGATGCCGGACCTAAACCAACCGTCTCCAACGCTCCTTTATGAAGCATAAGATTAGGCCCGCCCACCAACGTCCAGGTTAAAAACTAGCCAAGGGGAGGGAATTTTCAGAGGATATTGTAAGAAAAAATCCGAAAGAATTCTGACTCGAATTTGAATTGCAGTTCTGAGCAAAAATTCCAACATGATTGAGAGAAATTTTTCTAAGGATTGTGAGGAGAATTCCTGGTGACTTCTGATGACAATTCTAAGGAAAACTATAAAAGAATTCTGAGGAGAATTCCAATTTAATCGACTCAGGGGGTATATCCAAAGGAATTCTGAGGAGAGTTTTAAGGAAATTCAAAGGAGAATTCCAAGGAGAAACTAAAGATGACATTTTTAGAATAGATCTAAGAGTTCCAAATAATCTAATTCTGAGGATAGTGCCAAAGGAATTCTAAGAATGATTCGAAACAAACGTATGAGGAGTATTTTAAGGGAATTACCAAGAGAGTAGAGTTTCAAGGGTTTCCGAGATGAAAATTGAAAAGAAAAAAGAGTAAACAAATAGATTCCTTTGATAATTTCAAATCAAAATTCCTAGGTAATTCTGAATAAAGTTCAGAGAAAAGCTTTACAGGAATTGTCAGATGAATCTAGAGGAAAAAGCTAAAGGAATCCGGTGAAAAATTTATACTGAATTCTGAAGATAATGTCAAGGAATGTTGAGGGAATCACGAGTGAATCGATTTTTTGAAGATTCAAGGTAATTAAGAGGAGAATTCCTAGAGAATTCTAAACAAAAATCCTAGGGGACTTTCAAAGGATTTATGAAAATAATTACATGAGAATCAAATTATGAGGGGAGACGGTAGGGGCGCATCGTCCCATGCTCTGCATAGATTGGCCGCTGCCAGGGGTTATGCTGAATATATATCAGAGAATATAACGATTTCATGGGAATCACATTGTGAAGATAGCTTCAAAAGAATTATAAGGAGAATTTCATGATGATTCTTAGTATAGCTTCAAAGTAGTGCCGATTAGTATTCCAAGATAAAACCGCAGAGTGTTCCTAGAAAATTCAGTGCCGAAATCAAAAGGCAATGATTAAAAGAATTGCATGTAGCTTCTGGAATAATTCTGAGTAGAAAGTCCTAGAAAATTCTGAAGGATACACCAATCCGTCTGGCAATTTTTCAGGACAATTTTGAAGAAAACTTATGGAGAGAAATTATTACAAATTCAAAGAGAATGGTAGAACGAATTCCAAGAGTTTTCTGGAGATTATTATAAGATACGAAAATTATGCAAGGATCCCAACACCATTCTTGAGAATATTTTATAAAATATTTTTGAAGAGTTTCAAAGAATTATCAAGATAATCCAAACATTAAACAAAATCTCATAATATTGGGAATTCGTTACGTATTTTCTTAAAATACGTTTACATTTGGACAACATTATGCAACGTTAGTATGTTCCCGAAATATAGTAGAATCTCAAATTTCAAATATCAGAAAATATTATTTTTTTCAGACGGATAATCCTCTAATCAATGCAATCATTGGCATTTCAATCCATTTTTTTTTTCGTACTGTTTTATTTGACTAAGTCAAAATTGTTGATGTCCTTCTTTAATTGTATAAAGTTGTACAGTTAGCAGTGTGTTGAACTGAAATTCAAATCAATCATTAATTCATTATGTGTTATTGTTGAATTGAAAGTTGTACTCATTGTGTTTGTAAAGAGCTGTTCAAACTACCGTGGCTCAACGATTGGCAACACTAGATTCATCCTTCATGTAGGAATATCTCACCGCGCTCGAACGAGTCTCGTCCATCGTCAGTCGTTATGTGTCTTATGTTGTTTATTCATTGCGAGTTTGTTGTCAATCATAACGAGATGAACCTTTGTAAACCCTTCGAAACTCGCCTATTTCGTTGTGTACCATTAGGAGCCGCTCATCCAGTCACATATGTGGCGGTACAACTGGTGGAAGTCTGCCAATCCGGTCCTCACCGGTAAGCAGTTGTTGTGGCAGCCAAGGACGATCCAGTCCGGAAACAATGGAACAGGAAATTTATGGTACACCTGCGATCGCTACTACGACCAATACTACCACGTCTACTAGTGCATCAGTTAGGAATGGTGCGATGCCATCCCTGTATGGTCCGATTAGCCCAGGTCAGACACCTGGTTCACATTCTCTGTTTCTTCTCTGTTATGTTACACTGTATACTATATATGAATACTTTTTTCTAGAACTATTTCTTCCTCTACTACGATACACCTCTGCACTCACCGTTCCGATTTGGTTCCTACCTTGAGTTACACCATTTTTGTCTCACCCACCAGCTCTAAACTCTCTATATGCACATTCTTGCTTTCAGGACTCTTCTGCAAATATATGCAAACATGATTTCCCAAACTCAACTCCCTTATCCTCTGTAGTTTCCATCACAAACTGTAGTACTGATCCGATAGATGTGTCCATTGAGTTGCACGCGAATCCATATTCCTGTTCTCTTATTGATCGATTTGTATTTTGTTTCGTCTTCAGTTGATCAGCTTTGGTTATGTTTCCGTTTTCTTTCGTTGAAAGCAGTTGAAAGTTGGCAGCAAGTGATCAGTTTATATTTTTAGCAAAAGTGAGTCAAAGCTGAGACAGTCCCTACGCTTTAAAAATGTGTGCCGAAATTGTTTCTTCATAAAATCGTCTTTTCCTTGAATATATTTGACCAGTTTTCCAGCAGCTTGATTATAATCATGATGAATTTATGTTTTTGCCTTCCACTAGATGACCTGACCACCTACATCACCCGTTTCCAGTGGGATCTGGCCAAGTACCCAACCAAGCAATCACTACGGAACATTGCCGACATCATCTCGAAACAGGTTGGCCAGATTGATGCGGATCTGAAAACCAAATCCGCTGCCTACAACAACCTGAAGGGCAACCTGCAGAATCTGGAGAAGAAGCAAACGTAAGCGATAGTGATGGATGTGTGTAAATTTTTGAATCCAATAATCATTTCATTGCAGAGGAAGCTTGCTGACTCGTAATTTGGCGGATCTTGTCAAGCGTGAGCACTTCATCCTAGACTCAGAATACTTGACCACTTTGCTAGTGATCGTGCCCAAGTAAATTTCCGTGACATTTTTATTTCACAATGGTATGGTAAAATTCAAACTTTCACAGACAAATGGTCAACGACTGGAACACCAACTACGAGAAAATCACCGACATGATCGTGCCTCGTTCGTCGCAGATAATCACGCAGGACAATGACTACGCGCTGTGTACGGTTACGCTATTCAAGAAGGTCGTGGACGAGTTCAAACTGCACGCCCGTGAGCGTAAGTTCGTGGTCCGTGAGTTCACTTACAACGAGGAGGAGCTGGCGGCCGGCAAGAACGAAATTACCAAACTGGTGACGGACAAGAAAAAACAATTTGTAAGTGCATTGTGGTCGATTTAGAGAAAAAGCTTGGTTAATATTGGCGTTTCATTCTGGGTTTCGAATAGGGTCCCCTGGTCAGATGGCTGAAGGTCAACTTTAGTGAATGCTTCTGTGCATGGGTCCACGTAAAAGCCCTCCGTGTGTTCGTAGAATCGGTGCTAAGGTATTTGACTGGTTTATGCAATTCTTTGCCGATAAATTACATTCTAGTTATTTTGATTGCTGTCCTGTAGATACGGTTTGCCAGTCAATTTCCAAGCCATCCTAATTCACCCCAACAAGAAAAACACCAAACGTCTGCGGGACGTTCTGATGCAGCTGTATGGTCACCTGGATGGATCGGCGGCGTCCTCCGGTGGAAATGCTGATGTAAGTACTATAAACATACTACCATAATTATTAATTTGTCCTTAGTGTGACAGAATATAAATATTGCTGAAATTCATCATGTGAGTTGTCCGGGAAATTGCTTGATGATATCGCTAAAATATTCTTGCAGTCGAAAAGCTTAGGGGAAATGGGGGGCAGTTTGGTGATCCACAACTTGCCTAGTTTCTCCAAACTCTAGGATATGAAATTGATCTGATGTTTCCCTTTCATTTCAGAATGTTGACATTCCCGGCCTTGGTTTCGGACAATCGGAATATTTTCCGTACGTGTACTACAAGCTGAACATTGACATGGTCGATAACAAGGTCTAAGTTGCATCCACGTAGCGTACACATCCCGGTCCATCCCAACTACGACAAGTCTAGTGGCGTGTGTGAAAAAGAGAAAGAGATACAAATGGAAAACAACAACAGCATGTCTGTCGTCGTCAGCTGCATTGTTCATCAATCATCTTCGCCCGTCCCGTGTTCCCCTGTTCCCAAAATTTCAACGTTCAGCTGAGCTATGCATGCACGGATATAAGAAACCCTGGTGGTGCCCCGGAAGATATCCCAACGGAACAAAATTATGTAAAAACAAACCGCAAATCAAAATTCCCAACTATTGACTACTTTCTGTCATTCTGTTTAACTGTTGATTATTTTACCTATTATTGATTGTAATTTAAGTAGATTATTACAAGCATAGGATAACTAAAATTTTGTTAAGGATGATTACTGATAATTATTGATTTTTTTTTGTGTAAGAAGAAAGCGAGAATCGAGCGAGAAAAGTTGTTTTTAAAAACAGGATCTATTTTTACCGTTCCAGAAAATACATTATACTTACCGAAAAAAAAATAAACCTAACAATAGCAAAGCACAACTCTGTGAGGGAAAAATAAAAGATCAAAATACTAGATTTTACTAGACACAGAAAAAAATGGATGGATTTTGTTGCGTTCCTTGTTGGTCGGTTAACTTACAGCGCAAATTTCGTGGTCCTCAGAGAGAAAGTCACCCGTCTTTAGCATTAGTCATGAGGATGGCTTGTCCAAGCCAAGTATTATCGCCATGCATCGTCAGTCGTCAGCAAAGGTTGAAATAAAGCGTTGAAAAACTTTTCGTTGTACATATGGTTCGGATAACGTACTTTTTTTTTGTTCGTGGAAAATGATGAAACTATCTATTGTTATTGACACTTGAGAGAATACACTACAGAGTATAACTAAAAATAAACGGATTAATCTTAAACAGTGTTGAACAATAAACTACCGAAAAACAAAGTCTAGAAAACGGCGTATGTGTGTATATTTAAATCAAATATATATTATCAAATGGATTGAGAAAGTGTAACTCTGCTGCAGAATCAGTTAATGCAAATTATTTGTGTAAATAAAATTTGAAACCATTCCAAAAGCGGTTGTCGAGAGGTATCATTACTTGATTTTGCTGTTCCCTGTGTTGAAATAAATATTCAAATAATCAGAATGTAGGGCTAATGCCCTCAATGTCTGCCTAAGGGGCCCTAATATTGGCCCATTCAAAATTTTCGATGTAAAGCATTTTTTGGCAATAGGGGAAATGGCTCTAAGGAGGTTATTCCGAGAGTCAAAGTGACTTTTTTCACTAGTGAAGTGAGAAAAGTCACGTCGTGGTGACGTGACGTTTCATTTGATTTGCACAGAGAGTCATGTCACCACGAGGTGACTTTTCTCACTTCACTAGTGACAAAAGTCACTTCGACTCTCTGAATAACCCGCTAAGCTTGGGCCCATCGCTAAAAATATGCTATTTATCAATTTTATCTCAATGAGCGCATCATTGGGACGGTACTAATGGATATTTTTGTTTGCTATTGAAAATTTAGTCGGTTGCTGAATTTACGTATGGGTCCAAATTAGGGGCATTTAGGCCGACATTACATCCATTTCCCCTATATCCAAAAATGTAAGAACAGGAGATTTTTATCGATGGGCCCATTCTTAAAATTGATATGCCAAAATTAGAGCCATTTCCCTTATGTGGTCTGCTTTTGACTTCCATCCAATAAGGCTTATTCTGCGCCGCGAATGAGGGGACTACAGCGCAGAGTAGGCCTCAATATTATTTTAGCGTACTGATTTTTAACATGAGAGATGTTTGTTGTTGAGAGATTGTGAAAACAATCAGTGATTTTATTACGGCCAATTGTGTATTCTCATATCATCGAAGATTCGGATAGGATCTTGCTAGACTCAATAATGCAGAACACCCATGAGTTTAGTAGATTTGAAAAGGCTTACACGCAATTTTAAAACTACCCAATGCCCATTCACCCAGATCGGTCAAAACTGAACCTACCCAAAAAATGGGTAAACTGTGTTAGGAATGACAAGGACAAATCGACAACATCGACATGAATTTGATCGACGTTGTTCATTTGTCAACTTGTTATTCTCAACATAGTTTACCCAATTTTGGGTATATTCAGTTTTGATCAATCTGGGTCGATTTGGAATAGCGTGTACGACTCTGACCTTGTTTCCAGGTTAGTACCCCATTTGGCATAAATGCGAGAAAAAAAGCATTTTATCATTTTATCGAATGGTGTATTCTGTGAAGTGGTTTTATTGGGTCCGTTCTGGGGAATGGTTTTCCGGGGAATATGTCATACAATCATCAATATATTCTATTCTTAAAAAATTGCTTGATAAAGCAATTTTAAAAATCTCTAGGAATTTCAGGTTTTTCCCGGTAAAATAAAATTCTCTAAGGATTCTGAATTCCAGGATATTTTTTTTAATTAAAAATGAGTTTAAAATCCTCAATAATTATGAAAAATGTCGATCGTCATTGAGTGAATAATTACATGACAGGATCGATTATAAGCATCACTAAAATATCATTTTCTGTCACTTAGTGTTGAATCAAGTGACTGGACGCTTTTTTGTCGTTATCACAGAAAAGTAACGCTCGTACTAGGTGGTAGAATAGTGAGGTTCATAACCGGCTTCTCTTTTTTGTCATTTAGTGGACACAGTATACTGCAGAAATCTAAGTTGACAGAGCATGCAAACCAAATTTCCATGAAAAAAACGTACCTTTGTGAATTTAATTCCGGTTTATTGCGTTTTTGTTTCAATACGGAATTAGTTACGAATAGACCATGCTTTAGCATCTCGAGACAATCTTGGCTTTTAACTTTGCAGTCAAAATAGCTCAAGCTAATAAAGCTCAATGAAGCTTCATGTTCCACATACTCTATATTTCATACAGTATTACAAGTTTAGCTAATTAGGGTTTTTCTTTCATGTTTACGAATAATATTGCATTGTTCAACCTACCGTTTGCATTTAATCGTCTAAAATACTGATATTTTTAGTTCATACTATGTGTAACCTCAAACCGTCTATCCACGATTCCTACTCAACCGCTGCATGAAGCATGCTCGAAACGAATTGAGTCTTACGTCTATTTCGCCCTCCTCAAGCTAAAATACGGAAACGATGAAGCATCTCAGTCAAATCTATGTCAAATACGGCGCATCCTCACCTCATCAAATTTGTAAATCTCCTGATAGCAAGAAGGGGACATACATTCCCGAACGCACCGTGTTTTCTCAATCCCTTCGAAGATCGAACAACGTGTGCTCTGATCGCAGGCTGATTCGTACTCTCGGAATGCTAGTTCCTAACGATTATAAATGAACACTCATTGTTTTTTTTTTATTCTTTGCAAAGCAGCTAACTTACATTTTTACTCGTCTCCTTATAATCGTATTCTGGAAATTGGAATATCACTTTATTAGCATCACAGATTGCACGTGGCACGAGGAAGGCTACCGAAAGGAGGCACCAAGTTTGATAGTATAATTTGAGCATTATTATTAAGATTTTTAAAGCATTAAGAAAATTTCGATATAAGGACACACAACATTAAGAAAATCCTTCAGATTGACGTTTTTACTGAGAGCTGATGGGGAGAAACCGGAGAAACAAATCAAGGACGAAGAAAAATATGCGCCTGCGCGCCATCATGTGTTTCGATATTTATTTGAACCGTATATGTTTTTCAGTGACGGGCTCTACAGGCAAAGCAGTCAAAAGTATCGATTGTCCATGTTGTTTTGATACTCGAAAAAAAAGAACGGTTGATGTTCCGCACCGTGATTCGTTTATATTCAAAATTGTCAATTTTTAAATTTTTCGAATATGGCCACCCTTACACCAGCCGAATCCGGTGAGTTCATTGTAAAGAATGCTAAATTCTTGAAAGTCAATGAAGATGGGATCAAGAGCTTCGTCAAAGAGGTTAGTACCTTACATAAAAGCGTTATCAGTTAGAGATTATTCTTTGTGCTCCGTACAGGTGATAGCAGGGATTCAATCCAAGGTGATTGATGTCGATAACTTCTCTCAACATGAACACCATCCAAAGCCGACCGATCCTCATGCACCCAACTGGATCTTCCTGATCGATACGCTCAACTTTTGCTTCTGGACCCCGGGCGATGCAACCAAGTGGAAGGTGAATGAGCAGACCGGTTACTTTTCCCTTTGTGCTGCAATCAATCGTGCTTTGAAAGAGGGAATTGACATTACAAACCCTTCGTACTATTCCAAAATCACCCTAGGACAGTTGGAGAAAATTCTCCGCTCGGATGATGGACAAACCAAAGCTCCACTCTTGCCGGAACGCGTTCAATGTCTCCACGAAGTTGGGCAAGTACTGCTGGAGAAATACGAAGGAAATTTTGAAAACTGTGTTAAAGCTTGCAACAATTCGGCCGTAGCATTGCTGAAATTGGTTACGGATGAGTTTCCATGTTTCCGAGATGAGGCAACATTCAATGGCAAGCGAGTATCGCTTTACAAAAGGGCTCAGATTTTGGTTGGCGATTTGTGGGCCTGCTACCGAGGCGAAGGTCTGGGACGTTTTGATGACATCGAAAAAATTACCATGTTTGCCGATTACCGAGTTCCTCAGGTGCTGGTGCATTTCAAGACACTAGAATATACAGACGAACTGATGGATGTTTTGAAATCGGATAAGATCATGGAAAATGGATGTCCAGAGGAGGTTGAAATAAGAGGTGCCTCGATCTACATTGTCGAGCGGCTGAAGGACCTTGTGACGGAGGAACTGAAGGCGAATCATCCAGATATTTCGACGAAAAATGTGAATGCTGTTCTGTTGGATCATTTCCTTTGGGATTACCGACGCAAGCACGCATCTGAGTTGGAATACATCCCGTTCCACAAGTCGATTAGTGTGTACTACTAGGTGAGGGCATAAGTTTTGGGCATTCTTTTTTTTCTTTGAATCGCCTTACCTCAATAGCATTTAATCAACTCTTGAACAGCTACCTAATACTGTAATAAGAAAAAAATAAATTTATTAAAAATTGCGTCAAAACACGTTCTTCTTCTTTTGCATTATGACGTCTCTTCTGGGACTTTTACTTTTACTTTTATCGATTCTCTTCGTCCACTTTCTCTTTCGTTAATAACATGCGCATATAACCGTTTCTTGTTGTGTTTGTCGTATTAGATTTAGATGCTAGATGAAAGCTTCTTTTATCGATATGTGTGCTGAAAATACCTGGGAATGTCTTAAGATGGCTGTGGGGATACACAAAAAAGTCGACGAAGAGAGTCTGTTACTGTTACTTAGGACCTAATGCAATGTTCAGCTTGAATTAGGTAACAAATAGACTAATGTAAACCCTGGGGGGTGACATTTAACCGATGATCACAATGTAATTCGTATTTATGGCTAATGATTGTGTGTAACTCTCGTATATCCACAAAAAGTGTGTTCAAGCTTATGTTTGTTTGTGGACATTTTAAAAATCGTGTTTTTGGTATGACACTTAACTTCATAGAACAATTTTAATAAAACAACAGGTTACACAGAACTCCAGGAGTTCAAGAAACATATTCTAGTCATAATTTTCTGCATTAAAGATATTTACATCAATAAACATTTTTCAATTTTGGCGCAATGTCCAACGATGCCAGATATACTGACTTCTGTACACGATAAAGGTGGACACTATCTTTTTGAACACTAGTAACTTTAATTATAATAACGATTTTTCTAATCTCATTAGATATAACAATAGTTGCAAACTAGTTGAGCATTAATTTTAGCTTCACGAAATACTTCATTTGATATTTTTAGGATACAATTAAAATAGGGTGACCACTTTTTTCGTGTACAGAAGTCTGTATATATGACATCGTTGGCAATGTCACCCCGTCTTGCGGTACCGTAATTGGTAGTACCATAGAGGTAACTCTAACACTAGAAGGTCCCGAAATAACGTGCTCAACTTTTTGGCTCAGCTCTGGTACTCTCTTCGGTCCCAAGCTAATCGATTCACCCCTCGAAACATAGGAAAAACCAATAACCCCTCATTTTATCTGTCAAACTTTCATAGCGAATCAAAACAAAAATTGCGTAGTACTAGAATTTCGACTAGAATGGGATACATTAATCGTTTGCTTGGGACCAATAGGCTAGTCAAGTAGTGAGCCAATTTAAAATCGTTAGTTTCGTATTGATTGTTGGTAGTACCGCCACCTGTGGCGCTTATAGTCAATTCCCTTGCGTTTGACGTTTACACACTACCGCCATCTATTCAGCGTACTGCCCACCAAAGTGTACCCAACTGATGGCGGTAATGTATTACAGTGAGAAATATTCAATGTGTTATCACCGTTATCACCGACATACCGACACGAATTGAAATTGATGTCCACAATTCAATCGTTTTACCACTATAAAAACCCTGAGTCCGACCATTTTTTATTTTATTTAGAGACGAGATAGCACCGACAAATAGACATGAAACTTAAACTTAACTCTTGATCGAGAATCTATAACGGCTGATTCAAATGTGCAGCGATCCCATCTGTCAAAACCATAGACATTTTTTATTAAGATAAACATAATTTTCCCGGAATAGATTAGACTCGAACCAACTTATACATTTCGTGGCTAGGATAAACATTTTTCACGAACACGGCGGCAGATGTCAGTTTTGTGATTTTATCAGAAATTTCATTGTAATTTGTATGATCATTGATGTCGGTTTGTCGGTGGAGATAGACTAGCACAATGTTGGACAAAGTTGTAGAACAACTAGTTTTCAACAGTAATTTTATTCCTTTAAATTTGTCGAACCTCTTAACGGAATCCCTTTATGAAGAGCTTTGAGTGGGTTGGTTTATTTCCTTTAAATTCCGTTATAATTGCTTATCTTTTCACAGATACGCGTATTTCGTCTACTACTTGCAGACTTCATCAGTGCCAAGTACCACCAGTAATTTTATATAAATTGATTTCTCGTAAATGGTATGTTCAAGACCCTTTTGTTAATTTAACCGATTTTCATTAAGAAGTACGCCCCTTTCAAAAGATAATAAAATGACGATGAATAAAAGTAAAATTTATTAGTTGGTTCGTGTCTAATCTTTTTCGGACAAATTATTTTTATCTAGATAAAACATTTCTATGGTTTTTACACATTTGAATCAGCCGCTATAGATTCTCGATCAAGAGTTAAGTATAAGTTTCATGTCGATTTTTTGGTGCTATCTCGTCTCTAAATAAAATAAAAAATGGTCGAACTCAGGGTTTTCATAGTGGTAAAAACGATTGAATTGTGGACATCAATTTCAATTCGTGTCAAACTCGCGAAAATGTGTTTCCTAGGGTTTTGTAGGCATGCAAGTTGTCTGTAATTTATTTCTATGTTCAAACTAGGGAGCTAAAACATTTTTTTTGATATTATTTTTTTATCAAAATTGTTAAAACATGTTACATTGCATTAGTTATCTGCAGTAATTATACATTTGTATCGATATGCAAAAATTGTAATTTAGTGGATTTTCGGACATCACATATTAAATTTACTCTCAATACCTATTAATTTTGCAAACGACTATATTTCCTTGACTCGATAGTTCTGAACTTGACTGCCCTTGTCAAAAGCAATAGCACAACTTTCCACCTTTTTGTAATGCGGTTCAAAATACTTCCTGCTTCCAAAGGAGTAAATGCGTTTAAGAATGTATTAATAAATAAACCACTGCACATAAATCAATAATTTCAACACAACGAACGGCAAAAAAGCGACTCGCTTCCTCCTCGAGAAATAGTTTCTACTTTAGACATTTTGGTATCATATTACAGATTTTAAGAACAATGGCACTGATTACTTTTTCTGATTGACTTTGATCCTTCTCCCCGACTATTTTTCCTTCAAATTTTCAAAGAACTGTATACTACTTCGCAGATGACCCGGAGCAAACACGGGACTGCTGGGTCGCTCGGGTGACGCATGGCCACCACCTTGCACCTTGTGATCATCCGTCGCATTGGTTCTAGAATTTGAATTGCAGTTGAGAACGAGATTATCATTTTTTATTAATTTGTCAACATACTTCAACTCATCTCGAATCTGCTTGGACAGACTGCGGGCCGTTATGCTGTGTCCCGGGGCCATCGGAACAAACGTCGGTGGGTTATATGCTTCCACTTTCATTCGGCGGATTTCACGTATCTCCTCCGCGGCACTGATACTACCGGTACTGCAATATATTCGACGGTTCTTGTTCTGGACGTGCGGCATTCCGGTGCGAGTGTCCTGGTTTTCCTCCTCGTGCAGCATGTCCGACGATTGTCGAATGAAGTCCTATACAGTGGTATCAAGGTCAGGGAAAATTAATTCAATTTTCTGACTAAAAATGCGCTGCAGATGATGGATAAACAGTGATGACAAAAGTTATGCTAAAAGCTGTCAAGCGTTTAGTAACAATCGTGAGACTTTGTATCAGTTTAGAGTTTTGTGAACATGGTGCAGCATTAAGGCATGTATGTTGTGAAAATCATTTGCTTTGTTAGTTACATTTGTGTGGTAATGGAGGGCATACAACAATCGACTGGTAATTTGCACAAATGAACTATTCTACACTTTGAATCGATAAGCAAATGAATTACCTTGCGGAGCTTGACCTATATTTCAATGTGGTTAATATTTTGACGATTTTTGCAATGGTTCGAATGGCATTTGTCGCGTGGAACAAAAGAAATTATATCAAAATCATAATCCCGTGAAGAACAGAAGCATCAAGGTGCGATTAAAAAATGACCCCACTCCGGTTCTCTCAAATTCTGGGACCCCCTTCCCCTTCAAGAAGAGACGTCATTTTGTAATCGTTCCTAAACATACGCACACGCCACTCAATTTTTTTTTTTGAAATTTAGATAGGGTGGAGAACGGTTTCAGCCCCTCCAAGACCCAAGCACGGGGTCTTTCTAGAGAAAATTAATCAGAAAACTATATCAAAAAGACTATGATGTGGAATATTATGCTGCAACAAATGAGCATTGTAAGCTATTGTTTAATTCATGCTTGGAATAGAGTTTCGAGGGGGCCAAAGCCGTTCGTCATCCTATGTAAAATAACTTTAGTTGGTTGATTTAAAATGTTTGGAATAATAGCTTATCATTGATAGTTTTCAATGATAGTTTTGTGCTCCAAAAATGGTGAAACTTGTCCAATTTACCAAACTCAATCCATCCAAACACTTCACTCAAAGAATTGAACTGTTTTTAAAACGCATCGACCCTTACCTTTGGTTTATGAAGCGGCTTCGGCACTGCATTGACATCCTGCTGACTGCTGCTATAGCACTTGGCGAGCTCCTTAACCGAGGGAAGCACTTCCATCACTTCCTTCTCGATGATGAAATCATGATGGATGGGTGCGGCCCTATTGGGTGGATAATCGATGTGCAAGGACGAATGGTAATGGCTGGTAGGCTGAAAGTATTACATTATAACTTACTATCTGCGACTTCAAACACTTGACTAACTTACATGATGAGGTAGATCTCGAATTTCCGTCGACGACTGGGAAAGCGAGGATGACGCAGAAAGATTGCCCCCTTTGGCTGCGAAAGGCTTTTTAGGCGAGAAAAATTTTATCGTTTCCGGCGATAGAGGTTTCATCTTGACGAGATGAGGTTTCAGTAGATGACTACGGTCTATAGTGGGACTGGAAGGAGGTTCAACTATCGGGTCCGGTTCAACCGGTGTGGGCATTCTGACTTGAGGAATAATCCCGATAATTTCTTCTGAAATTAGTTCAGTCTCTTGCTGCATCAGACTGTTCAATTTGTTCATTGTTTGCTCTTCGTCTATGCAATTCACTACACCAGATTCGTCATTAGTTGGAGTCGAGGGAGGTGTCCGACTTGTGTCCTTTTCACTACCGATAGCATCTCCATGAATAACTTTGCTTTCACCTGTTCCGATCTCATAGATCCGAGTCACGTCCGAGTCTTCACTGTACGTTAGACTATCATCAGGTCGTGACGTCATGCTTAGTTCCGAAGAGGATCCCAACGAACAGGGAGTGATGGGTTCGTCTGTTGGAACGAGGTAGACCTCCCGATCCTGTGTACTGAGACATTCCACTTTGGTGCCTTTCTTCAGGATGGGATCACCTGGAGCAACTGCAATGGGTCGAGCCGCAGAGAAGATGTCCTCCGATTGATTGTTGTTGATCACGTTGCCACAGCTGTTGGACTTTACGAATGGGAATGCACCAGCTGGACGCAGGTCATTCCCGTTACTGTGGGTAGGGCTAGTTGGTTGATCCTGTTTCTGTGACAGCAGTAGAGACTGGAGTTGAATGTGGAAAGTGTACATAGGTCAGAATAGGAATGAATATGAACTGAAAGAGCTAGAGGAATTGTTAGTGAAATTTGTTATTATGGGATAATTAGCCACAGGATATCTATACTTCATGTGAACAAGTGATAAACTAATTTTGGTAAGGTGATTTGACTTCGAAAACGTTAGATGTTTAATTTTTTATATTCTCATTTCCAAAGTTTAGCAATACATTAAGTGTGTTCTGCAAGTTGTTCAATAACATGTTTAGTTTAGTTTACTTTATTATCGAGATTTTCAGCTGGTTCGTCTCCTATTGTGTATGTAGGGGAAATGGCTCTAATGTTGGCCTATGGACTAAGATTGGTCCCATCGCTAAAAATCTGCTATTTATCAGTTTTATCTAGATGAACGCGTCATTGAGACAGCACTCATGGATATTTTTGGTCGCTATTGAAAATTTAGTCCATTGCTGAATTTATGTATGGGCCCAAATTAGGGGCATTTAGGCCGACATTACATCCATTTAAACCTAGTTGTTTCTTTGGGAAGCATTTGTTTTTCTTTATTTTTTGTATATATATACAGCCATTCCATAGCAAAACGATACAATGGTTCTCAGGATTTCGTAAAAATTGGTATTTTTGTTCCTTATCGTAAAATATCAGACCCGTATTTTTTATTGTAACCATTTCCGAGCGATTTTTTTCGATTTTTTTTGTTTCAAAAATTTATAACTTTTGAACCAAAGCTCAAAATATCACATCAGACGCAACATTCGATAACGGAACAAAAGCATTTGTAAACAAACTTTCTAAGGCCCTTAACACACGAACCAAATTACGCCCACCCAAACCAATACCACTTTCGGAAAGGTGAGAGTTGCCCCTATCCGATGATTAGCATATTTTAAATCTTTAAGTTTATCGAATCTCTTAACGGAATGCCTATATCTATAAGATCTTTGAGTGTGTTGGTTTATTTCCTTTTAATTCCGTTATAATTGCTTATCTTTTGACAGATACGCAGATTTGATCTACTACTCTACTACTTGTAGACTTAATCCGTGCCAAGTACTAATATTTTGTACACCGACCTCGAGAAAACCTTTAAGGACTTAATTAAATCAAAAAACGCGGTTACTGGCGTCGGTTCGTCGATGGTTTGTCGCGAGAGACTTCCATGAGAACACTCTGGAATGTCGGCAGGAGAATGCGAAACGCGTCATCACCGATTAATGAAGACAAGGAGTACTCGGACAGATGGATTTTCAGCTTCGCGCGGAAAGTTTGCCCGGATTCGGTACCGGTTCAAACCAACGTTCGTGATCGTCCGTCGGGTAATAACGAAATAGATTCCCCGTTTTCGATGGTGGAATTCTCACTTGCTCTCCTTTCATGTAACAACTCAGCTCCAGGAATGGATAGAATCATGTTCAACTTGCTCAAAAATCTCCCAGACGTCACGAAGAGACGCTTGTTGAACTTATTCAATCAATTTCTGGAGCACAACATTGTTCCGGATGATTGGAGTCAAGTAAGAGTTATCGCCATTCGAAAACCCGCGTCGGATTATAACTCGTACCGTCCCATCGCGATGCTGTCCTGTATACGGAAATTGTTGGAGAAAATGATTCTTTTTCGTCTAGACAAATGGGTCGAGTCGAATGGTTTACTTTCAGATACGCAATTTGGATTTCGGAGAGGCAAAGGAACGAGCGACTGTCTTGCGTTACTTTCAACTGAAACTCAACTGGCCTATGCGCAAAAACAGCAAATGGGTTCAGTTTTCTTGGACATTAAGGGGACTTTTGATTCTGTTTGTATCGATGTCCTTTCGGATAAACTCCACGATAGTGGGCTTTCACCAACTGTGAACAACTATTTGAGCAACTTGTTGTCTGAGAAATATATGAGCTTCTCTCATGGAAACTCGACAACTTCACGAATTAGTTACATGGGTCTTCCCCAGGGCTCATGTTTAAGCCCCCTTCTTTATAATTTTTATGTAAAAGACATTGATGGTTGTCTTGATGAAAATTGCTCGCTAATGCAGCTTGCAGATGACGGCGTTGTGTCCGTTATAGGGCCAAGTGCACCGGACCTGCAAGGACCATTGCAAGATTCCTTAGACAATTTGTCTACTTGGGCTATGAAGCTGGGTATCGAATTCTCTCCGGAGAAAACTGAGTTGGTTGTTTTTTCTAGGAAGCATCATCCTGCACAGTTACAGCTTCAACTAAAGGGTAGAACAATCACTCAAAGTATATCTTTCAAGTATTTAGGTGTCTGGTTCGATTCCAAAAGCACGTGGGGAAAACATATTGCGTATGTGAAACAAAAATGCCAACAAAGAATCAATTTTCTTCGTACAATTACCGGAACTTGGTGGGGAGCACACCCGGAAGATCTGGTCAGGTTGTATCGAACAACCATCTTGTCGGTTCTAGAGTACGGTAGCTTCTGCTTTCAATCCGCGGCGAAAACACATATCTTGAAGCTGCAACGAGTTCAATACCGTTGCCTCCGAATCGCGCTTGGCTGTATGCACTCGACGCATACGATGAGCCTCGAAGTACTCGCGGGTGTTCTCCCACTGACAGATCGTTTCGCGGAACTGTCCTACCGGTTTCTTATCCGTTGTGAAGTAATGAACCCATTGGTAATAGAAAACTTTGAGAAGCTGCTCGACAGAAATCCTCAAACAAGATTCATGAGTCTCTATTACGAGTACATGACGCTGGAGATTGGCCCTTCTTCATTCAATTCCTCTCGTGTTTGCCTCCAAGACTTTTATAGTTCCTCTGTAAATTTTGATCTGACCATGTTGCAAGAAATCCGTGGAATACCAGATCACCATCGGTCGATGGTTGTTCCCTTAATTTTTGCAAACAAGTACCACCATGTTAGTAACAATAAGAGTTTTTTCACAGATGGGTCAACTATAAACGCTTCCACTGGATTTGGAGTATTCAACGAATTTCATAGCGCCTCATATCAACTGCAAAAACCCTGTTCCGTATACGTTGCGGAACTAGCAGCCATATTCTACGCAGTAGAGCAAATTGCCTCACTACCATCTGATCACTATTTTATTTTTACTGATAGCCTTAGCTCGTTGGAGGCTATTCGATCAATGAGGCCGATGAAGCACTCCTCGTATTTCCTGACCGAAATCCGAGCTAAATTGAGTACTTTATCTAACTGCTCCTATACTATCACCTTAGTTTGGGTCCCATCTCATTGCTCAATTCCGGGCAATGAGAAAGCGGACTAGCTAGCTAAGGTGGGCGCTATGGAAGGCGATATTTTTGATCGACAAATCGCCTTTGCGGAATTTTTCTCAATTACTCGTCAGCACGTCCTCACCAACTGGCAACAAAAATGGAATGAGAGTGATCTGGGAAGATGGTTACATTCTATTCTCCCACAGGTGTCGAACAAGCCATGGTTCAAAGGATTGGACATGAGCCGTGACTTTATACGTGTCATATCAAGGCTCATGTCCAATCACTACTCGTTAGACTCGCATTTCTTCCGAATCAGGCTCGCAGGCAGCAATTTGTGCGCTTGTGGTAGTGGCTATCACGATATCGACCACGTGTTTTGGTCATGCACTCTACATTGTGTTGCTAGATCCGAGTTATCCGCATCCCTCAGGGCCCGAGGAAAACAACCTATGCGGCCCGTTAGAGACATCTTGGCGAGCCAAGATCTCGAATATTTTAATTTAATTTATGTGTTTTTAAAACGGATCGATCTGAGGATTTAGTAGTTAGTGTCATCTTGTGTTCCTCCAAGTTGTTAGCTGCCCATCGGTGTACCCCATGTTTGACTTTTTCGTCAGTTGGTCGCTTAGTTCGAGATAAAAAGCACATTGCTCTCCAAACCTTGTGTTCTCAATCCCTACCCTGCCATCCATTTGTTACAATTTGTTACCCCTAACCTCGAGATAGCCGCGAGTAATCGGCCCCCGCTTTACTAACGTTAGTTTTAAGAAATTTTGTCATCCAAACAATGAATATTGGCTCCGCAAAGCTACGGCAAATGAGCCTGGAAAAATAAACGCTTTAAAAAAAAAAGTACTAATATTTTGTTCACACTAGAAACAGGGTGGCCAGCGACCCGGAAAAACCGTGAAAACTGGGAAAAAACCGGGAATTTGACGGGAGAACCGGGAAAAATCCATAAACCTTAACATATTTTAACAAAAATAGAAACAGCTTGAGCTGAATGAAGCAAACATATGTTTCTTCAGCTCAAAAACCTTTGGAATTATTTAAACCTTTGAAATTATTTGACCTTCCGCAAAACTCTCCTCAGAAATCCTTTGAAATTCTCCTCAGAATACCTTGGAATTCTATACTGAATTTTCACGAAGCTTTCTTAAGAATGAAATTTAATTTCTTCAGCATTTTTCTTTATTTACCTCAAAACACGATTCCTTCGGCATTTTTCTCGGATCTTGCTTAAAGTTTTCTTGTGAATCTTCCTGAGTATTCATTTGGAATTATTATCAGAAAACTCTTTAAGTTCTGTTTATATTTCTTTTAAAATTCTCCTCACAATCCGCATACAATTCTCTTCAGAATCAACTAGGAATTCTCCTTGAAGTTCTCCTCACAATTCCCTTCTAATTCTTCTAAGAATTCGTCAGGACTTAATCCTAGAATTAGTTTGGGATTCTTGTCAGAATTCCGTTAAATTTTCAAAATTCTATAAAAATTCTTTAAATTGTTAGAACCCTGAACATGTTTCCAAGCGAACACAATATTCCTGGGACTGTATTTTTCCAAATACTTTAAAAAAAAATGTCTTGCGTCGCATCAAGTTCAAAATTTTTAAAACAATTTCTTAATTTTATCTAAAATTCAGTAAAATGGCCCATTCAGCCCGATAGCGTTCGGCTAACAGGTATAGGTAACAGGATGCTCTTTAAAACATTCTGAAAAGCCTTTAATTAGAAAACAGCGAATTCCATAAGAACCACTTATGAATTTTAGCCACAAG